TTGAGGAGGTCGCAAAATACATGAGCACAGACCTTAAACCTGACAGTGCTGGGAGGAGGAAAGCATGGCGGGATATAAGCAGTCATTGCAAAAGCTGTCCTACTCAGTGCCCACTCCTGTCCTGCTGCTGTGGGCACTTGGCTTCCCAATACTGTGTGATGTGTTTAAATGCAAAACGTGCACACATGCATATGTAGGAATGTGAATTGTTGCAACCCTTCCCACTTCATAATTTTTTCAACTAGCAGAAATAAATCTGTGAGAAAAACTATGTAAATGATGTTTTCATACATATACTCAACTTTTAACAGTTTTATCATAGCAGCTCTTTCTGTGGTAAAGAAAGTATCCTGATGCTCCCCCCAAAACTATGAAATAGTGCATAATGCAAAATCCATAGAGCCAAATTAAAATTAACACCTGCTGCCAAATAACTGTTTTGAGAGCACACATGTTTTAATATTCAGTTCAAGTTGAGAAGCTTACACCCTTCAGAGCATTATACTCTGCATGGATTAGAGTGATATACAGCATCTAGAGAGCTACATATGTGCCCTCCGCAAGATTTTGCTGCATAACCCGAGGCATTTAAGGCGTTACACAATAAAGTTAACCCTGAGCCTATCTCTGCTGGGTAATGGCCTCCACCTGCCAGACATCTAGGGAAAAAATAACAATGTGATACTTAGATGGGATTGCTATAAGAAGGCCTCTCATTTTTGCAGAAGATATTTCACCATACACTCAGTAACATATGTAATTCAATCCTGCTGACTAGCAGAACCGAGCATCAGAACGTTTTTTAAAAGAAGCTGTTGTATGCACTTTTTCAACTCAAGTTATTACAGTCTTAATTTGCCATATTATCCTTAAATTAACCTAGATTTGAGGCTTCTCACTTACCATTTATACTAACCGATGGTAAAGTAAGTGTGTATAAATGAATTACTTTGATCTTTATCAACGTAAGTGATCACTGGTTTCCAGTACAAAAGATATATTAAATAATATATTAATTAATTAATTGTTGGCCCTTTATCAAAGTACTTTGAGCCACAGGGAAAGATTGCATACCTTTTTGTGTTTCTCTTAAACAGAGGGAAATAAATATTGTGTTTGATTTAAGAAGGATGTCTAGGGCTGTAGCTATGATTAGGAATGTGCTTCTTGGGAGGGTTATTTGAAAGAGCATGAGAACAGCTGCCTGGGTTCATCAAACCAAAGGTCCATCTAGCTCAGTCTTCTGTCTCCAGCCTCCTGACAAGTGGATGCCTAGGGAGCAGGGCAACATAGGCAATACCTTCTGCTTCAGGCATCCAACTATTTCTAGTTCTTCAGTTCTTGGGATTTCCTGAGCAACTGTGTTTTGTTTTTTCAGTTCTTTCCATGTACATTGCATTTACATCCTCTGGCAAGGAGTCACACATGTTCATCGCATAGTGACAGGAAGTCTTGCTCTTTTGTTTGTTTTGAACCTGCCTATTACTTTTGCTTTTTGGTGGTATTTGGTACTTTTATCGGAAGACAGTAAATGGTCAACCACTAGCCACTCTCTCCGTGTCACTTATGGTCCTGTATGCCTTTTTCATATCCCACCCACAAAGTCAGTGCTTCCACTCTAACCCAGTCATTGCTTGTTTCAGCCTTTTGATCGCCTTTGTTACCCTTCCCTGAACCTTTTTCCCATTTTAACATATTATTTTTGTCATGAGGCAACCAGAACTGCACAGAGAATTCAAGGACTGGACAAGCTGTGAATTCGTATGCCATAAGGATCTTTTCTGATTTGTTGTCTAATCCTTTTCTATAATTCCTAACTTTGTTTTTGCACTGCTGCTGAACAATGAGGTGATATTTTCCTGGAACTATCTATCATGTTATCACTTTACATTTATCTTCTTTGTCATATTTCACCTGCCATTTTATTGCCTTGACACACTGTCTTGTAAAGTCCTCTTGCCATCCTTCATAGTCTCTCCTCATCCTTATCACCTTGAATACTTTCAGATCTTCAGCAAACTTTGTCACTGGACTGCTCACCCACTTTTCAAACTCATTTATGGATACATTAAACAGTATGGATCCCAGCACAGGCCCTTGCAGAACACCACTGGTGACTTATTATTGCAAGAGCTGCCCATTTACAGCCAGCATCTGTTTGTTCTCTTTCAGTCAATTATTTGTCTGCACAAGCCCTACCTCTCTCCTAACTGCTTGAGTGCAGGCACACAGATATACTTTCATTTCTTGTGTGTCCTGGAGAAATACTTGATAATCTCATTAAGATGTTTAAAAACAAAACAAAACAAAACAAAAAGAAACACCAGTACTTGGATAATCATAATCACGTTTCTAGTCTTTGTATAGATAAATCCTTCTGTAGCACTGAAATATTTCCATTGCAGAAGTAGCACATGTATGGTAGTGTGGGCAAAATACAGTGATGCCAAAAGGTACACACATACCAGCGCAGTCCCAAGCAATAAAAATCAGAGGTATCTGAGAACAACACTGGAGTCCTAAGTAGCCTCATATTCATGCTGTAGCAACTGTCTTAAAATTGCCTTTCTCTTCAGGATTATGTTGGATAAGGGTAAGATAGAATTTCAAGGACTAGGCTGATGCGTGCAGAAATGGCACAGTTATAGGGACCAGAAAGAGCGTTTTTTGCATCTTGAGTCTGTTACTGCAACTCTGTAGGCTGGTGGATTAGTTCTAGGAAAACTGCAAACTTTTATTCCATAGTTCCAAATGAGTTAGGAAGTGTAATTTGAGCTCCCTGTATGTCATGAGGTCAAAGTCTGTCCACCTGGGCTTTGAGCAGGTGATTTGACTATCAGCCCCAGTACAATAAAGGTCACTTGGTTTTTAACATACCACATAATTTTCCAAGACTATTGAGAGATGGGATCCAAATTTTCATGTATCATCTGAGGTTGCAACACAGATGTGTTTAAGGGGTTAACACTGTGGCTCAATCAGAAAGAATGCTTGGCAATAAGAGGAAGCCTGGATTAATGATAGAAAAGAATTCTTAGCATTTTATAGCAGTGGGTATCCGAGATGAGACATAGCTAATGATCAACTAAAAAGGTATTTGCAGCTGTGGTGCTACCTCTCCCCATAATGCCAACATTAATCAAGCTTTTCCATGCAGCTTTGCAGTCCATTCTATTTTTCATTGTCCTGAATAAAAAAACAGAGCTCATGCCCTAATACACTGAGTCAGACACCATACTTCTGTGTCACTGAAAATGATCAGACCTTATCGATTTCTAAAAGCTGTACTTTCTGTACTGTGAAACAAACTTATAACAAATTCTTTAACAAAGCCAGTTTCATTTTAAGGGGAAAAAAGCCTCTTGTAACCCCAAACTGTAAATATCTTTGAGATGTGAAACAGTTATCACCATGAATTTACTGCTCATATATTTTATTTAAGTCTTGAATTACAACAAAACATCAGCTGTAATTACAGCATCTCTAAGTCGAGTCTTGGAGTCAGCCCTCTTGCTGAAAGACCTTGGCAATGCAAAATGCCAGTGAAATCATGTAAGTCAATGTCCTGGCTGTTCTGGTGCTGCCTTAGGAGTCAGGAGAAAAGCTTCATTATAGGAAAAAATGAAACTTTTGACATACAAGTTATTTCCAAAATGGCTTCAATCTTTTTAAATAATGAACTCCATTGAATCTCAACTTCTCAACAAACGCTGATTATCTAAATTCCTTAAGTAAACTACACGTGATGCAGCTTTTGAAACATGAACATGATCTTCCCTTATGTAAACAATCCTCTGCCTTTGTTGCCTGATGCTATCGCACTGGGTGCACATCCTTCTGGATTGCAGGCCCGAGCCTATAAAATCTTGCTATCAAATATCCACCCCAATCTGCAGATGCTTTATGCCTGTGCTTAACAACCATGACTCATCCCATTAAAGTCAACAAAGTTACAGTAGTAAAGTTAAGCATGTGTTTGCAGGAATAAGCCCAAATTCTCAGAAGTATTTAGGTAACTTAAGATGAAGCGAGATGACTAGTGGGGGAATTTCATACTGGTGTGACTAATCTTCCTAAGATCTTCTGAAATCAAGAGAGAAAGTGCTCTTGCAAAGGGGCTTCAGGACGGCTAAATTAGGCTCCTGTTTTGGAACATCTTCCAGAGAGCTTCCTGCTTTCCCTGTTGCTTAAGAGGTGCCAAGACTGTCCTGGACACCCAGCTCCCATAGAAATTAGCAGGAGTTAGACCTCACAGTGTCCAGCCTGATCTAGTGGGTGGCATCCCTGCCTGTGGCAGGGGGCTTGGAACTGGATGATCTTTAAGGTCCCTTCCAACCCAAGCCATTCTGTGATTCTATGATTCTATGATTTTGCCAAGCACTTGTCTGCAGTAACAACCATTTCAGCAGCTCTGGGAATTGAGTTCTGACTGCTTGTGGTGGCTTCGTAGCCATGCTCACAGCAACAATCTGCCTGCCATAGTTTTGGACTCCAGCAGCCCCATATATACCATGACCAGACAGTAACAACACAGGCTACAGTGCACTGTTCAAGCTGAAGGACCAAGGTGAAAATAAATGGAAACATGTCAAAGGCCTGAAGTTTCCTCTAAATAGACATTGTAGATAAAATTCTTTTTTTTTTTTTTTCTCACGTACTCTTAAATCTACAAGGCTAAGTGACCCATCTTCACTTTTTATGGTTGATTTATAAATACTTGAAATTAAAGACCAAAAAGCAAGCAATGACTCCTTGGTATTTTAGTAAACATGATGCATTTTGAGGATCCTCCAAGAGCCATGATTTTGCTGTGTTAAATAAAGTGGATTTTATAGAGGTTTAATCAGATCATGATGGAACATTATGCAAAACATTATGCAATGTAATGCAAAGTAATTAATGCAAGCAGAAAAGTGGCAGGGATGTGAGACTGTTGAGCAGCATTTGTGTCACAAACTGCCTGCTGATTTTCTGAATTTCTGAATTTCTATCTTTCATAGATCGTGGTCTCCCGTTCAGAGCCCACAGCTCCACATGTCAGCTTTCAGCTGGACTCCCACCCCGTCTCTCCTCAGGTTGTTGTTGAGAACTCAGTAGCAGCAGATGGCTATACCTTGGTAGTGACTGGAAAAAAGGTGAGCAGTACATAATCTAATCATTCCTCACCCTGTGCAAACCTGCATACAGAGCAGTCACATTCATTAAGGACAACTATTCACACTGCTGCTTTATGTTTTGCATCCTCCCAGCCCTTCCATTCCCTTGGGAACACTGGAGGGGCAAGTTTCCTCCAAGACTTTTTTTTTCCCCACTAAACAAACCAACAGACTAAGATTGAGAAATGTTTAAATAATGTAAGAACTGTGATATAAACCAACAAAAGCCAGGAAATGCAAATTTAAAGCTGAAAGTCTGTCCTTAATTCAAGTGCTTGCAAAGAAAAACACACAATGGCTTAAGAAAAGAATGGTGTTCAGAATTTCCTGGTTTTTGTTGGTTTGTGTCATAACTTTATAACTTTTCAAGAGGGGTGTGTGTGCAAGTGTTATGTGGGTGTGTTTAAAATTGGAGATGCTGTTCTTGGTAAGGTTTGAAGATTATGTTATCAGGCAGTTTACAAAGGGTTAATAAAGGATGAAGAGTTATCGTAAATATGCTATTGTCATTATTATTATAACTAGGATGTGCATTGTCAGATGGATTTAGAACATCACCACATTAGCAGATAATATTACAGATAATCCTAGACCTTAATCATAAGCAATAATTTGACCTCTTGAGTTCTATAAGAATTTAAAGAAATTAATCAGCCATTACTAAAGATGGTTATTAATCATTAACTAGAAACTAAGAGATATTTACAAGAGTAATCTTCAAAGAAAATGTCCCAAAAATGTTTAAGAAAGGTACTGAAGTATAAATTATAGAGTGATGTAATTAAATGATAGTGTTAGTACTTTGATCAAAGATAACTTCTGATATTTAGAGTGACTATTATCATACCTATTTTTGATATTTTGAAAATTATCATAAATTTTAATTCATGTTTTTGATATAGGTTAGGTTTTTTTATGGTATGTGTTAAACACCAAGTACTTGGTCAGTCGTGTGCCCAGTGTGTCACAGAAATTAATGTAGCCTAACCAAAGTTGAAATAGCCATCATGCCTATTTTTATAAACATATGAACTAAGACATACTGAGACACACTGTTTTTTCCAAGAATTGCTACAGAACTGGGAGGAGCACACTGCTGTTTTCTTTTTCCATCAGCAAAAAAATGCTATCTTGCTGTAAACACCAGATGCTGGTAGTAACTGTATATAACATTAAGATGCCTTTAGGGTTTCTCCCAAGTGAATTTAAAATCATGTCACTTAAATTACTTATAAGATCCTATAATTACCGAGCTAAAGAGAAGCCGAACCACGACTTGCACAGCTGAAATCTGAGTAGTGCCACAGCGCGCTGCATAAATTGAGACTCTCCTCGCCGGTAAGTGTGTACATTCAAAGGCTCTGTGCACCATCTCTTTCCATCAACAGATAACCAAGGTGCCCCTGAACGGGCCAGGCTGCCACCATTTCCAGTCCTGCAGCCAGTGCCTGCTGGCGCCTGCCTTCATGCAGTGTGGCTGGTGCGGCGAGCGCTGCCTGAGGTCTCCGGAGTGTGCTGGAGGGACCTGGACCCAGGAGACCTGCTTGCCAAGAGTCTATGAGGTAAAATACATGCTTCTGGTATTCACATCTGCATCATTTCAGACACATGGCATCCAGGGGACTGTACCGGTGGTTGGGGTGCTGTGTGGGGTGAAGGGCAGTCTGCTCACCACCCCTCAGAAACCCTGAGCTGGCAGAGCCCTCCAGGCACAGCAGCACCCACCACATGGCCTGTGGTGCAGCCACTGCTGCTTTGACACTGCATCGTGAGCCAAAAAGGTTGGATGAGTCTTTAGGATAAACATATAGGAAGAGGTGCCCTCAGATGCCCTGTTGGTGAGCATGAGAAGCAAACAGAGGAGTTCCCATGCTCGTTCTATTTATTTTTATGCACTTATGGCAAATGAAGTGCCTGCTCTCTCTCACAACGGAGGTGGCAGCTGGAGGGGAGCAAGTCAGCAGCTTCGCCCTGGCAGAGGGGACAGCCAGAGGCTGCTCTCCGTGGGCTCCTGTGAAGAGCATACAGGGACAACGCTGCACAGATGAGCACAGAGCCCTGCTGGCTCGCCCCTGTTTTCATTTAGCTATGGTTGGTGTGAGATTTGCACGGGCAGACTGTACGTTTAACCGCATCGTTTGAGTGAGGTGCGACACGGCTGTGAAGGCCAAGGCTCAGGGAGCAGCAGATGGACTGGTACGCTGAGGGAGGAACAAGCGGAGAGCCTTCTGGTAGCACTTGCACCTACTTACTTTTAACACATTTAAACTATACTGTATGGCCAAAAAGTACATTTTCCTCTGGGTATACAGCTTGCAAACAGAAATGAAACTTTGACATGCTAAGCTCTCAAGGAGAAAGGGAAGCAATAGTTCTTCCTTAGCAAATAGTGTTTTCTTTCAACTGGGCAGATGATTTCATGGACAACAGCTTTTTTACGAGTAGCCAGGCAAAACTGCTGTAAAAGCTTGGATTCGCTAGTAATCTAGCAACATGTTTACAGGGGTGGTATTTGTCATATTTCAGATACAAAATTTAGGGCTAAGTCAGAAATAATTCACTGAACAGACAATGAAGCACTTTAAGAATCATACCCAAAATGGATGGAGAGATGTGTGTGTGTGTGAGCATGCGTGTAAGTGTGTTTGCCTTGCCTTCAGTTACCATTTACCTTTGGGTGAAGGAGATATAAAAAAGCTGCTATTCCAAATGTGAATCATTTATTTTCACTTTACACAAGAACTCAGCCATTTCAGAAAAGCTGTGGTAGATGATCAAATTGTCCTTTCTGTCCACAACTTTTAAGAGACTATGAATCACTGATACAAAGGCATGCACTGGGGATTAGTCCTGGCCCATTTTTGTATACCTCTGCAGAACCAAACTGCTCGCACCTGCCCTGCATAGCTTGTTTTGTCTTTCCTAGAGCTCAGGCATAAGCAGCAACCCTTAACGTTTTTTCTCAGCAAAAATTTCCAACAGCTGCTGTGGCTTGCCATGCATCCAAAAAGATTTCAAAGGTTCAGAACTGCCTCATTTCTGGCTTTCAGAGGTGCTGAGCTCACACAGCCCTCTCTGGTTTCAACCCGGAGTGTGTGCGCTCGGCAGCTTCAAGAAGCAAGCACCTGGAGCCTATGCAGAGACACACAGACCAAGAGGTGCGTCCCCAGAGCCACCTCTCGAGTCCCTCTGGAGTTGCTGGGAGGACTCATCCGATGGATCGAGCCATTGATGTGGGCAGCAGGAGCAGGCATGGGGTTGGCCATGTGCTGCCCTTCCCCACAGACAGCTCAAGCCCTGCCCACTCAGCACAAGTCCAGTCTGCCCCTGTCATGAACATGGACCTGTGGCACTGATGGGTCTTGAAAGGAATCTTGAATTCCTGTATGTCCACATCAGTGGAAGTTGCTTCTAGAAGACTTGTAAAGAAAAAAAAAATGCAGCTGAGTTACTCAAATCCCTTTGGATTGCTAGCTGTTAAGACAGATTTCATGCTCTGCTGGACCATGACATTTAACATTATTACTGAAAAAAAATATAAAACAGATTATTCATCATCTTCTGATCTGTCTTTAAACCCATATGCATAAAATATGAGAAACAAGCTTGTTTTGTTCCTAACAAATGGAGGATGACCTGCTTTGCGTAGTATTTGAAATTCTGTTCTACTCCCCTTAATATTTTGCAGATTTCAGAGAGACAGACTGCTTAGGATAGGTCATATGAGCATTTTAACCTGAGGGTAACACAGAGGGTCTGATCCAAAGGATGCTAGTGAAGTCTTCAAAAGTTTTCCCATGTTATTACACAGACGAGTGCACAGTGGAAAAAAAAAAAAAAAAAAAAAAAAAAAAAAAAAAAAGATGAAATATTCCTCTCAGGAGGAATGTCCGAGGGGAAGCACAAGGTTCTCCCATTGGTCTTGCTGACCCTTCAGGTCTCTGCCGTGCTTTAAACACTTTTCCTTGGAGCCATTGGGTGGTGGGGAGCAGCTCTGCATCCCAGCCTGGCTCAGCCCCAAACACAGCTGGGCACCATACCCCACGGACCTGCCTCCACCTGCTGCCCCTGCTAGCACTGGAGCGCGTTTTGTCAGCCCAAACTAAAGGAACGCTGAAGGACTCGGAGGAGTCGTACTGGGTATAACTCCGTAATGAAACAAATTGCAGGCATCTGCATACAGAGTTCGGGTCACGTTGAGAGGTGAACTGCATAAAAGGAAAAATAAACAGGTCTCCCTTTGGATTCTTTGTTGTGGTTAAAAACCTGGGGTGGTTTGTTGTTGTTTTTAAAGTGAGTCATTTTAGTTAGCTTTTATCTCAGAAGTATCAAGAACATCAAGCCCTCCTGCTGCCTGTTTAGATTGGAGTTTCTGCTGGAAATTTCAAATGTGGCCTGTACATGTTCTTGCCTCTTAATTAAAATGAAAGAGGTGTTGAAACTTTAATAAATAGATATTTTCTTCTAACAATTTATAAGGTATGTGAGTGGATATTAGCATAATGGCTGTTAACATAAACAAAAGAAAAACACAATCTTTAACATTTTTAGAAAAAGCCTTCTCCCCCATAACCCAAAGCCCAGGGAGCAGCAGGGACATGCAGAATTTCAGGCCTCACAGCAGGACTTACTCCAGGTTGTCAGTGGGATTTCCTGGCCAGAGAGAATTTTCAACAATTTTCAAGTCCTGAATTTCATAGCATTTATAAATGATTTGGGCTTTGCTTATTTTCTGTTACTACCTGCACAATGCAAGTGCGAAGACGATGCCTCCAAATGCCTCAGTTCAAAGTCCAGGAGGTTCACTGCTCATTCCTATCATCTCTCCCAAGGAAAAGTCTTGGAAACCACTCTTGACATGCAGTAGTTTCAACATACAAAACAAATTAAGTAAAAATAAAGGAGTGCATAAAAACACTTTAGGGGAATTTTTTGAGAGCTCAAATACAAAAGTACAGATTTAGGGGTGGGTTGTTTTTTGTATTTGCTTTTAGTTTTTGCTCTACTTTGAAGTCATACCTCCTAAATTTGCTAGTAGAGCACAGTAAATACTTTCATTTTCCCTTAGTTAAGGCACATGGGCTGCTACCGCAAGTCTCTTTTGGCAGGTAAGATCACTCAAAAGCAGCTAAGTGCCTTAGTTTTTGATTCTGTATGGCTTTGTGAAGCCTGTTTTAACCCTCTTATTTTGCTAACTGAATGGATTACATTTCAGTCTCCTCAAATGCCAGAAGTCTATGCATTATTGCACAAAACATGAGACATCCTGTACCCCCACAGAGCAATTTTAGTTTTGTAATTCCAAAAATAGATAGTGTGCTGAGATATTAAGTGGAGTGGAAAAATATTATCTGAAGTCAATCCAGATTCTGAAGAGGAAAAAAAAAAAAAAAAAGAAAGAAAGAAGGGAAACTTAAATTTGGGAATGGCACAGGCTCCACAGGATGCTCCCGACACTGAGCTACAGCATTCGTCGACAGAGGTCTGTGTGAGCGTCACTCCTTTTTTATAGGATTTGTGCAAAAGCACTGTTCCTGCATAGGTTCCCTCTCCTGTGCTCACTGAGAGCTGATCCAAACCTCATTAAAGTAGAAAAGATTCCTACTGACTTCAGTGCATTTTAGATCAGACTCTTTGTCTGCTTTCTAATGGGGGCAGTAAATTTCCCCATATAGAATATATAGTTTAATTCTTTTGAAGTATTCTTCAGCTGCCTTTCTATCTACAATAGTTCATTTGTGAGAGTCTAGAAGTATAGCTACAAGAGAGTTGAAAAGAAATGTGCTGTCTTACTGGATTTCCAGATGAAATAATAGCCAAGTATCTCTCAAACACTTTCTTTTCAGCTTGAAAATGAAGTCAGGTCCTTTGAAAGCCACAGCTGTATTACATTTTAGGGGCAAAATTACTATTACTAAAGCCTTAAGTCTAAGACGTTCAGGCACTATGGCCATAAGTATAAATTCAGTCTTTTTTCTCTGTTGTTTGTCCAGTAGTACTGATACATTTGCAAAATTATGCAGTATTGTTAAAAGTCCCCATAAACCCTAAACCAATGTCTTTTTTATTCTTTTACTGGCAGGACTGACCAGCACTTTTACTGAGTTTCTGCAAGACCTCTATAGTGTTCCTACATTTTTCCCACCATTGTTATATTTTACAGGACAATTTACAATATACAGAAGAAAAAAAAAAAAAAAAGAAAAAAAAAGAAAAAAAAAAAAAAAGCATTTCCTTTGTAGATTGTCTCTATGTTGCTGAGAGGTAGTTTATTTTTAACTCAGAATTAGAGGTGACCAAATGTAAGAGATTTAAGGGAAGAATAGCAGAAGTCACGTTAACTTTATCACAGCCAATGCAATATCGGATTTTGGTGTCTTTGAAGCTACTTCGCTCTGAACCTGACTTTCATCAAGCTAACAAAAAATGGTCATTTGGGGACTCTTTTGTGTTCAGCATTCAGCTTCTAACAAAATAAGTACATTGTATGTTTAACATGCCAGAAATAAGATGTGAAAGACAAGAACGGCAGGATTTAAAAGACTGTTACAATGCACAGCTTGTTCAGTGCCCCTAAACACTATCCTTCAAAGCTTTCTAGTATAGGTTTTGTTATTTATTGCTACTGTCAGAGAAAGCTCATAATGTGACAAATGAAAGGTGAAGAACAATTAAGATGAATGGTAGGACATAGTCTGCCAGAAGAAATGCTTTTCTAAAATTATTCCTTTGCACATTCTTTAACTCCATTTGAAGTTCGAGAAAACCTGATGTAAGTAACGAAATGTTTTTTAACAGATTCTCCCGAGCAGTGCTCCCTTAGAAGGCGGGACAAAGCTGACACTGTGTGGATGGGACTTTGGATTCAGCAAAAATAATAGATTTGAATTAAAAAATACAGTAGTCCATATTGGAGGACAAATTTGTGCTCTGGAAGCAAAATCTAGCAACAAAAACAAGTAAGAAACCTAAAATATGAACTTTCCTTTATAAAAATGTTCTTTATGTGGTATAGATTATGCAATGATACAAACATTCAGTCAATAAGTATCATCCTTCAATTTTGAAGTTTCAACAGAAAATTTAGGTGTTAAAGAATCCCCTGATTTGATAAGTTCCCCATGAAAACAGTGCTCCAAAGAGAGAGCCAGTATGTCTAGTTACTGCCGATAGCTCTTGCAGCAGCTTGTTCTGGTTTGCCTGCAAAATGCTCTTCAACACTTGTGAGACCCAGCAAAAATGAAACTATTCAAAGGTATGAAAAGGTGGCAGGTTCCTTCAGCCAGGATCCTGTAGGGCTCAGGTACGTCACCTCCATCTTCCTGATCTGTGAGGATGTGTGAGCTGGAAAGGAATGTGAGAAGATGCAAGTATTTGGTCATCAAGAGGCTCGTGACCCTCTGCAGCACCTCTCCTCCTCCTCAGGAATGTGTATTCAAGACAGTGGAATAATTGCTTAAATTCAAGACGGAGGTTATTCTGGTTGTTATCTCAGAGAAATAGTAAGTTCAATGAATATCCTCTCTCAATTCAGAGCATTCAGCTGTGTCCTAACAAAGCTGTGTGCAAAGCACAGCATGGCTTCCCTATCCACGTTTATAGCAGCAGAGAGGTCAACCTCCAGCAGTCTTGAGCTCTCTCCTAACTGCTGCTCTAAACAGTCTCAATGCAAACTAAATATTATAAGGAGAATAGCACATATACAAGACACTGTAAATGTAATGTAGTTCATTGGCATATACTGCTAAAAAAGTTCAAATTTTGGTAATATTCAAATTTAGACAGCAAATCAGTATGGGAAGCATTTTTCCTAATCCTGTGTTTGCCAAAATCTAACACTAAAGGAAAACTCCAAAACTCAAATCAGCCATTGAATAGGAGGTATTAGTTTTCTCCAGCATGCTTTTTTCAGAAACCCATTTCATATACTAAAATCAGTTTCTCTGGCTATGGTTAAACACCATAATTCTTTTAGCTGTATTTTTTGTTGTTGGTTTTGTTTGGTTTTGGTTAGTTGGTTGATTGTTTTTTTTCTGAAAAGATCCTGACACACATAGATTGATGAATTGTTCAGTATGGATCCTGGATTATTATGAGTTTGATGTGGTTCAATTTTAATACAAAATGGTCGAGCCAGGAAAAAAAAAAAAAAAGTAACCCCATTTTTTTCTTTTCTTTCCAAAGGCTGGAATGCACAGTTCCTGCTGCAAAAAATGCAAGTTTTAATATATCCAGTAGTGTGTCCGTTGGACATGGAAAAACATTATTCAATACATTTTCTTACGTGGTAAGTACTATAATTAAAAACTTTACTGTCTAATTAGCTTCAATCTGAACTGCAAGAAGACTCCTCATGAGTCCTATCCAGTATGGCAATTCTATATTACTGTTTGCTTTATTATTACTTACTGTTTGCTTTATTATTACTTCTTGGAAGTGCTAAGAAATGTATGAAGATCCTTCCTCTTCACATTTTGAAAATATGGAAACATAATTTAACAGTCCTCTCTTCTTGTTTTTACTCCCCTCAGAATCCTATCATAACAAGTATCTCTCCCACCTATGGCCCCAAATCTGGAGGAACGTTACTAACAGTGGCTGGCAAATACCTAAACAGTGGAAAATCCAGAAAGATTTTTGTTGGTGAGAAACCATGCATCTTGAAAAGGTAATGTGTTTACAAAGAAGTGATGGCTTTAATATTGAAATGTCTTGATTAAAATGTTTTGGAATACAAAACACTGCTCTCCTCTCCTAACACTACATATCACAGTATAGAGACTGCACTAAGTATTCAGTTCGGGACTAGGTCCTGAATTTAGGATGTCTAGATTCTTCCTAGAAAGGACTACGGTTCCCTGGAAGATTTGTTTATTCTGTAACGCCTAATTACCCTCATTAAAACATTGCACTGAGAAACAGTAAATCAGCTTCTAAGAGACTGGAAATTACCCATTTTTTATCATTTTTGACATTCCAACTCCCACATGCTCAGCCCCCTCCTCTACAGCCAGAGCTACTGTTTGTGCACAGCTCTGCACCCAGTGTACATCCCATGAGCATGGGGTGCAGGTTGCCATTTCTTCCTGGCCAACATGAGACCTATGTAGAACTGTGTATCCTATGCATCAGAGCAGGTATTTCTGTGCTACTGTCTGCTTCCTAACTGAGGATAGCATCAGTTTGGGACACTTCCTGGTATCAAGTAGTTTTGAGGACTAAACCAGAATTTCGGTATGGCTCTGAACTGGATCCAGTAGGAGCTCAGTCAAGAACCTTCAACATGCTATGTGTGGAAATGCCTTGAATCTTATCAGAATATAAAGGTTAAATAATAAACACAGATTCTCTGCAATGGGCTGTCAAGTATTCTGAATTCAATAGCCATTCTGCCATGATGCAAATCCTACTTTGTCCTCTTGTTGGGTACTGCAGGGTTCCTCCCATTGGAGTGAACAGAATTGTCACTTTCACAGCCGAGGGCAGAATCAGGCCCACCATGTTCCAGAAACAGGGTGTTCTGCAATTTGTCTAAATTTTGGGTCTCTCCTAATGATTATGGAATGTCATAGTGGTGAAACATCACACTTGCAGAGGATGCAGAGAAGCAGCAGCCTATTAGTTAACGTCAGACTTAAAGTCAGGAGAGATGAATTTTATTCCTTGCTGCTAAATGATTTATTGTATGTTCTTGATCAAATCAGCCAAGTCTCCTGACTAAATCAACAAAGGGATTTAGGTATGCAAGACTGATATTTAATCACTACCAAGATGTTCAGCTGCTACTTAATACTTTAGGATGGGATTTATTGACATCATCTCAGCTGGTCAGCTAATGGACAAATATATGAACCTTTGGGGAATGATTCATCTGATCCATTTGAGACACCTAACTGTGGGGATGCGATGACTGCCAGCTCAGAGTCAGACATCTGCTTCAGTCAGGGGGACCTCTAGGTATCAAACCTTCCCTGGGGCTTACCCAGTAAGCATCCCCAGCTCCCCCCTTCTCACTAGCAAAATTGTCTGGAGACATCTATGCAGATATTGAGTACTTTTTCAGGATACGTGTTTCTCTACCTGAACTGACTATGATGTTTGCTCTTGGGAGTGTTACCCAGTTCTGAGCATAGCTAGAACAAGTTGGGCTTTTTTCCTTTAAAAGACGGTGAAACTTTTATATACTTGTGGATGAATCACTAACCCCTAAGCACACGGTGAACACAGCCTTCCTGGAAAGCTTTAGGAGTGGCAGCAAATCCTCCTCTTGTCTGATTTGGAAACAGTCGCTCACATCCTTTGAGAATGGTCTCACCTGAAAGGCTCCTGGATATGGGTTGGTCCAAATCACTGAAACCAGCCACTGGAATTACATTTGCTTCTCCAGTCAGTTGTTACCCTTGCCTCTGATGTGTCCTGCTCCCTGTGGCCACAATCCATGTGCTCCAAGCCCCAGGATCCTTCATCCCTCTGCTGCTCACTCGCCCCGTGAGCTCAGCATAGGAGAAGGACTTCCAGGAGAAGTGAGAGAAACAGGGAAAGGCAAATATCCCTGAGACTCTGCTGCTGTGCTGTATCTAGCCAGCCCTTCATGAATTTTCACCCTCTCCTCTCTTCTTCTTATCCTCTCCTGCCTGTCCCTCAGCAGTGTCTGGAGCCAGCGTGCACCCAGTGCAGCACACCTCTGTAAAGACAGTGTATACCCTGCCAGCCCTTTTTGCTGAGATTTTTTTTTTTTAAGACAGAGTAAAGCCCGTGGATTGGAAGGAGAAAGACATAACCTCTCAGTTACAGCAGAACAAGTCATTCTCCTTAAACCTGGAACACGCTCTCATTTTCCAGGTTGGAAGCTGCCTTTGCACAGTGCAGGGTTTGACATGGCTGTCACGGGCACTGGGGAAATGCCTTCCACCAGGCAAGGTGTGAGTCAGTCAAACTGAGGTGAATATGGAACCTAAGAAGTGTTGCTCTTGTTTCTACACCACACCTTGCTTATTTTCTGCAATGTGATCATCCAATGCGGTAATCAATGACTTTTTTTTTTCAAATGTGGATCGTTAGGTGGGTTTGCTGCTTAATAATGATAATGTTTTAAACAGCATCTGTGTTTTACAGTGCTGACAAGCAAGCACTTTTCTGTCCTTCCAGCATATCAGCAAGCACCGTGGAGTGCTACACTCCAGCACAACGAATCCCCCAGGACTACCGCGTGAGGGTGGGGATCGACGAAGCTAGCCGAGACGCGAAAGGTCATTTCACCTACAGAGAAGACCCCGTTGTTTTAAACATTCATCCAGCCAAATCTTTTCTTAGGTGAGCAAAAGTTTCTCTTAGAAATAAGAGAAGTAATGAATGAAAGAAGAATGGCTGCGCTGTGCAGCAATCTATCAAAAGAAATTGCATTTTTATCTCTATCTGCCATGCCAATTGCTTCTATTATGGTGCAGTTGCAGAGGGCAGATCATTTCCTTTCAGAGGTGAAGGAGAAGGGGGAAGGGCACCTCTGTTCTTTATGTGATTTAACTCCTAGCTGCTGCCGACTGTACCTGTGATGTCCTGCTGAGATACCTACTATACAGCTAAGTGGGTCTCCTACACTGTGTCTGGACATTACACTGATTAGTGAGAAAAATCATTTAATGTGACAAGTCAGCAGTGCTCAGGAGAGCAAATGGATTTTAAAATAGTCTAAATCCAGCAATGCATAAATATTATGAATATATATGTATGATAGTATGTGTGTGTTTTTAAGTGACATATTTATGGTCTCAGTAGCTTTAATCCAAGCCATCTGCCTTTGCCAAAAAAATGTCAGCAGTAAAAAAGACACTTTTTTCAGCACCACTGAAAGCAACAAGTAAGTTAGAAAATATTAAATGCACTCTCTTTTAAATGCACACACATTTGTTTTATATCCTTGCATACCACAGTATTTAAAATTAATTTTCTTTTCCTGTATATGGTTAGTTGTTATAACAAGTGTAAATTTTGTTTCACAGAAAAATAATCTTACTGCTCAGAGCTATGCATTTGCATCACCCTGTATATCCCTAATTTTGGTTTTATGTTGTCATTTACTCTAAAATATAATTTGTAATTAAGTTTATCATAGCAGATGTATCATTATCCTACTTATCTTTTTTTTTTTCTTCTTCTTCTTTAATTTTCCCTAGTGGTGGAAGTACAATCACAGCTCAGGGAATCAACTTGAACTCAGTGTGCTTTCCTCAGATGGTGATTACTGTACCTAAACTGGGAATGAACTTCTCTGTGGTGAGTCAGTCTTGGAGAAGACAATCTGTTATCTTGTCATCTTCATGTTGTGAATGGCACAGAATTTGCAGTTGAAACACTTCAATTTTTGCCTTGAAACTTCAGGGCTTCCACCAATTTTTTGATGTTTTCTTCAAAAAACATTTCAGTGGAAACATAGTTTTGTGTAGGCACAACTCAACAATAAATTGGAAAATAGAGGGAAAGGAGAACAACAGTAAAATTGGTGCAAATAAATTAGGCTTTCACAGTACTCAATAACAAGATTTTTATATCACAATTTAAATTCAATGATTAAGCACAAAGCAATGCAATACAGATATGCCAGATTCACTTCCTATTCAGACATAGCAAGTTCAGGTGTTACTGTGATAGGCAGGAAATGTATTGAAATGGTGACTGTGAATATAAAAGGAAAAATGGAACAAACATCAAATAAATAGGAAAATTAAATATGTAAAATCAAGAGTAAGCATTGTTTTCAAAAAAATGCTGATTGACAAATTACCTGTTGGGGTAAATGTTTCCTAACTTGCCAAAATTCAGTAACTAAATATTAAGAAAGGTTTGGGCATCTGCAATTGGGAACCTCTTCGTGAAGATAAATTCAAAACCGTCTTTTGTTACCTGAGTTAATATTGTGCAGTATCTTAAATAAGGTGATCAGATATGGTCATGTGATGTACTTTAATTTTTATAAGGCAAAGATGACATTTATTGGCTACTTGGACTGGAACTGTTTCCTGTAACCTTTTGCCTACACATTCGTCTTTTGTCTCTGACATTTTCTCATCCTGTATGGTCTGTTTAGCCTAATTGAAGCTAAATTGACCTACACGCTTTATGACATGCTACACTACTGTTCATATTCTTAGCTTGCTTCTAATGATCATCATACAATATTTCCTGTACTGAATTCTAAGTATTAGACCTAGGTTTGCTCAAAGCATTTTAAATGGTATGTTAGCAAATTTGCAGTCTTTTATAGTTTCAAGGTCACAATATTCTTCATGATCCTGATTTGTATAATATTATGAGTGTCAAGACCTGAATTTGAGCTGGATGTAATCATGGCTTGTAATTTAATGGGTACAGATTTTAATCTGAAAATTAGTGCCCCTGCAAAGAAACGCAGTGTTCAGTGTTACCAGAAAGACACTTTAGCTATGAGTTGGGAAATAAAATATTTTGGTGAAATCAACCAAACTCAGAATTTCATAGATTTTCAGCATTGTGAGTACAATTATTTCTAAGTGCAAAAGATTTACAAAATAAAAGATCATTGCTGAAATCATCTCTTTAGATTTTGCTTTGATATTGCTTTGCATGGATATGAGCTTTCTTTTTAATTTACCTGTTTTCTCTATTCTCTGTTCTGGGAGAATATGCAAAATTGCTACTCTTCAGCACTTGATTCTGCACATCTTGCTTGTCAGATTCCCAGTCAATGAGAGTAGATAGTATTTGGAACTCACTGGAGTTCCTACTCTGACTTAGATTTTTTTTATATATCTATTGATAAAATTCTCACTCTAACAAGGTATTCTTCAAAATCCATGAAGACTGTGTTTGGAGACTGTCAGAATTAGTACAGATTTTAAGGCATCTAATGTAAAGTATATCCATTGTCTTAAAAGTAACTGGGAAGTCTAGACAATGAATGCTGTAGAGTTTCTTCTTTTCTTCAGTTATTGAGAGCACACTTTCCTTTGAGTACTGGTTTCTTCTCATCCTGCCATTTAACCTGCTGCTGAAAAAAAAACAACAGGGATGTAGATAGTCAGAATTATGTCCCTTATTCTTTTTCTTTCATACCTTGCAGTGTCCATGATATTTGCCAACATACAAGAAGAGGCAGGTCTCAGCCTCCTTTTGCATGAGGATATCTGTCCCCTACCACTGTTTATCTCTTTACATAACTCTAAAAATCTGCCCCAGAATAAAAGAAGCTGTGCATGTGGTCATTCCCCCTGTATTAAGGGATGGACTATAACCTCAAACAAATTGTAATCAAGAGTGTATTATGCTTTGACAGTGCCCAAGTATTTTGCTCTGTTGAAATTAAAGGCCTCTAGCACTCAGTGGCTTCCCTCTGTGGCAGCCCAGCTCTGCTTGTCATTTGTTCTGCCACCAGTCTTTACCTCAAGCCTATCTCTCAAGGAAATATATTTGTTCTCAGGGAGAAGGAGAAGATTTAAAAGTAACAAAACCAGGTTGCACTATGCAAGTGAGGAAATTGCTGGTGAAGGATGCCTAATGCTGCAACCTGTCTCATTCTGTGTGGGAGGTTCTGAACCCTATGCAAAAAAAAAAAAAAAAAAAAAAAAAAAAAAACTTTCTTGCAGTCATTACAAAAACAAATAATGATGAGGGACTCTTTCCAGCAGGGATTTAGAGCAATGCAATAAGCAGCTATCATGTTAACAAATGAGAAAACAGGTTGTGGTCCTGAATAGACCAAACCCAGACAAACAGTGCAATACAAAACAAAATGATCAAGAAGTCCTTTAGCTGAGGTTAAATTACCATTTTGTTTCCTTATTTTGAGAGAGGAGAGTTAACTGAGTCATTTTTTTTAATTGTTCTTTTAGCCCTTTTTCTTTTCAGTTTTCTCTCACCAGCCTCCTCCAAGAAGCTGCTTTTGTCAGCATTCAGAAATTCTGGCTCTTGGGAAAACCAAACCCAGCAGTGAAACACATCCCAGAGCATCAAAGGAAAGTGCAGCTGGGAGGGACCACAAAGACCTAGCCTGGCCTACTTCCCTGCAGCAGGAGCAAATGTACCCAGACCACTGCCTGACAGATATTTGTATAGGATGTTATTAAAGCTCCTCGTGAAGGAAATTTCACAACCTCGCTTAAACAAGTTTGGGAGAGAGCTGCTCTACCTGCTTACCTAGTGGTTTGGAAAGACTTCTTTCCAATAATTAACCCAAACCCCAGCTGTTAATGTTCTGTCTTCTTGTTTAACCCTCAGTGGACATGAACAACAGATTACCAGTCTCTCCTGCTAATTTTACTTAACTTGCACCACGATCTGATTCAGCCTTTCTATTTTCCAGTTTAAACAAACCAAGCTGCTCCAACCTTGCCTGATAATTGTTGTTTCCTAGAGCTCTGCTCATTCTTTCTCATTCTCCTACTCATTTCTCATTCACCTCCCAGATACCCTCTCATTTGCCTAAAACTGGTAGCATCTGACTTAAAAGAGCTCTCTCCTTTTGCTGCCATCTCTTTGTCCCCAAACCCTTAATTCACTCCATCAGGATAAACTGTGGCCTGGATCCCCCCAGTGGAGCCACAGTGTGAGTGGAAGGTTACTGCTATGAGCAGCAGGAGCTGTAAGGGGTGCTCTGCATCCCACAGCCTGAAGGGGCAGAGCCGACTTGCATGCCTTGGGGCATTTGCTCTCCTCTGCCTCTGTATTTCCATCACAGTGTGAGAGATGAGCTGGTAAATGAGTTTCTATAAAACAACTCCCTGTAAGAAATGCAATTGCACTGGAATTTAAAAGTTTGGGCTGTAATATGCTCTATGAAGAAACATGTAAGTTTGGGGTTGGTTGTTGCTTAACTATTCTGCTGTTCACAGGCCACACAGGTCTGAGCAGAAGCAACTGTGGTCACTTCCAACCCAAACCACTCTATAATTCTTTAACAATTCTAAGTTGACTATATCAGCTGTCATGCTTGCAGTTCAGTATTTCTGAAATTTCCTGTTCTATAAGGTAAAAAGTCCTTGCTTCAATTTTATCATTTTCTTTTCATATTTATTTAAATTTCATTGAAATTATTCAATACTGTGTTCACACTAATTGTGTTTATATTACATTCCACTAACACTATCAAAATAATATGTCTTGCCTTCTTCAAATTTGGTATTTCAACATGAGTGAAAAAAATGTTCTACAGTTATTGAACCATATGTTTCAGCACTTGCAATGTGTTCTTTTTAATTTCTGTTTCATTAGTTCTTTTGACCATTTGTTCCGATTAAGAACAAAAAAATATGAATCTGGGGAGTTCTGCATAAATTATTCTTCCCAAGAGCTCTAGATAACGAATAAGGATGCCCTAACCCTCTCACTTATGCTCACGTGTTCAGCTCCAGTGTGAGGTACACAGGGAAGGAAGCAGCTTATTCCTGCCACTCTCTTTGTAATGTGCCTGTATAAAAGCTTGGCATGGTTTGGGATGATATTTGATCAGGAGCCTATTTACAAAATAAGTACCTTCTAACTTCTGCTATAAGTCCTGCTAGAAGCTCTTGAGGCCAGTATTTTCTCTTTGACAGCCTGTACTTTGCACTGGTTTCCCAGTAACAAATCAGTTGTCATTTGGGGGTCCTTTGCTGCATGTTCCATCCATTAATTAATTCAGATATATATTCCCACTGCTTAATCCCTTCTAACTATGAATCTACCAAGATGTCCAAGGTTGCAAACCTAGGGAAAAGCACCTTTTAATGAATGATCTCCAACAACAACTAACCTTGTAGCTATGCAAGATCATCTCTTTCCACAGACTTTTAATTATCTCTTCAATAAGTAGCCTCTTGAATAATCTTTAGTATTTCTTAATTACTCCCTGCTAGATGCCATTTCCTGTTGTGCTACAGGAGAATTTTAAAATACCCTAAAGTTTTTTTCTACATTTAAAGTCCCTTAGCGATCTCTATTCATAATACCCATCAAACTGCCCAGAATTCACCTGAGAGTATCTAGCTTAGATCTGTTAAATAATGAGAGAAGAAATTCCCTGGGAACTGTGGATGGTGAGCATGTGATTATTGAAGCTGTTCCTGATTATGTATCCAAATATGCTCAGGGTCAGATCTTCCAGTTATGTTGACTCTTTGTCATGAAGCTGCACCAGAAGCCCAGAAAAGATTTCCCTCATGAAGGGAAACCATGGCCTTTCTGTGCTGAATCTGTATCTCATGTACATCTCTCGCAAAGGAAACAGTCCAGTGACAGGTATCAGTTAAGAGTCTAAGTTGTGAGTTCGTCGGGGTCCCTGGGATGCACTGCTGTCAGGCACGTTAACCATCCCAAACCCACAGAGGAGCCTGGGCTCCCAGTCAGTATCGGTCATGTTGTGTGAAGGGCTGGCCCTCAGACTCAGTAGAAAGGAAGGGTTTACTCTACCTTCTGGTCCAGTGATCTCATAGACTAGAAGTACCATCTCCCTTGCTTTCATCCAGCAAAACAACTAGAATAAAAATGGTACTGAACCATTAGTACCATTTCTTGCACGACCTGAAATGACAGCAAAAGCCCATGAGTCCTCTGAAAAATCTTCAAGACATCCTGATTGAGTGTCACTGCTCAGTTTCTCACCTACACATAAAAGCTTTCTGAACGGGTTTTCCTCAAGCTGGACTTGACTTCCCATCTCTCTTCTGAGAAATCATCCTTTGGCAGAGACATCTGGACAGTCTCCCAGTCTGACTTTAACCTCATTCATCTTTCATTTCTCACTGGAACTCCAAAAGTTTAGATTTTTTTATAAAAGGACAAATTGGTCCTTTTCTCCTGTCTGACTGCTACAGATCCTGTAATACACATCTGACTGCCCCTCTCTTATCTGGGTCAGTTGCTGGGAGACCTTTGGAGCTCTGAGATCCTCCCTCATATTTTTCCTGTTGTTTTGTCAGATGAAAAAAAATTGAATTGGGCACCGAAGTTCAGATTCTGTAGGTCAGGTTTGAATTAATTGCCTCAAGGGTCATATTTTACAAATGAAGCAAGAATACATACCTTTAAGTGATGAGTCATATGCATTGTGCAATGGATTATTATTCCCCTTGGGGTATAGTATTTACTTATGCTTGTGAAATGTTCCATAATTTTTACATCTTTTCTTCCTTATTGTCCTTAGATGTAGATTATGTTCACAGGAAGAGCACAGCTTTAGCTTTTAAAGGGAATGTACTTTAAAGTCTAATTAAATAAAAGTTAAAGGTGCTGGGTGATAGGCAGTATCTTAATTGAGTAGGCAATAGATTGAGTTAGTTTTTTTCTTATAGATCCTCAATCCAATATTTCTTGAAAACTAAACCATCATATTCTTCAATTGCTAAAACCAATTTCAAGGTAAAAATGTCATGTCAAATCACGTACCAATAAGGGCATTGTAAATAAGATTTTTCTTGACCTTACCAATCAGTCACATTGCATCCCCTCCAAAGAGTATTATTAGATTTTTATCATTCTCTGAAAGCATCCTCTTCAGAGACCAGCCTGATAAAGTAAAGTATCTGGTTCTAATGGATAGCCACAAACAAAGTTATGAATACCACTGCTATTCATTTAACGGACATCACTACTCTACAGTAGATAAAAAGACTAATGAATTTACATTAATCAAATAAATATAATGATTTCCTAGGACATATTTGGTTTTATAATTATATATTTTAGTAATATCTTTTTAGAATCGACACAATATGATAGATAACTTTACAGATATTCATATATCATGGGAAAACATGACTTGATCATACATTATACTAATGATGCACCTTACTATTACCATACCGATTCAAATGAAGTTCTAGATCCATGGCATCTCATAACAAAGCATGAGATATGGTAAATGGTGCACATCAAGGAATGACAAAAATACTCTAATACTGTAAGCAAATGGAGGAAAAATCTGCCTTGACTTGTGTCCCACAGATTACCTTGTTTTTATGGGAGGGTGCACATATATTTCCGAATTTGTGCTAGTAATCTAACCAGTTTCGTGGGTGCAAGTCCCCCTAGTGTCACTGAGAGCTACACCAAGTTATTTAACTGAGCACAGAACTCATGGTTAACAGATATGTAGACCTTGCAGTAGAGCTTTAAAAGACTAATGCTCAGTTTCAGAGCCTTAAAAATGTTTTTTTGGACAGATTTAAGATTTCATAATATTATGCAAAGAAACACGAATTACTATGGTGAAAAAGTGCTGATATCTAATTTAATTCTATTTTTCAAGTTAATGTGAATATATAACTGATCCACCTTGAACTGTTATGTCACACAGTAAAATTACATTGCATTAATTTAGCATATTACAGACAAATGTAAACTAATTTCACAGCTTCTTCAGGCAGCATTTTATAATGAGAACCAATTTAATTTGCAAAACAAAACAGAAAAAAAAATAATATATATATATTGTCCCTCTCTAGAGGTACAAAAGTATTCAACAGCACTGTTGGGTTTCCAGGGAAATTTCTTGTAGAACAAATGTAAGATTTATGATGACTAGGTTATAAACCCCATTGTCACTGGGCCACGTCAGCCACTCTGTTTAAAAAAAAAAAAAAGTGTAATGTCTGGGACAGTGTACAGGGAACTACCTGCACAAGGCTTATGCAACACAAAAGCGAAAGAGCCACTCTGAAGCATGTGTGGTGCTGCCCAGCACCCACCATGCCCCCCATCATTGCTTGTAGATGTGCTGTTGATATTATAATCCAATTAGTCATCTAGAAACCTCTACAGTAAGGAGAGAAAAGTTGACCCTTCTGGAGTGCTGTTCATCTAATTAAAGCTGTTGTCCAAAACAGATCAGATGAACTTCCCTCGAGGTGAGCCTGTTTCCTTCTGTAGACTGTAAGGGAGTTTAGACAAGTGACTCCAGTGCAGGCTGGATGCAGGCTGGATGAATCCCACCTGCAAGGATTCTTGCTGTCCCTATAAACTGACCAAACTCAGCTTCAGATCAAGCTGCCTTGCTTACAACACGGGAATCCTTTTGGGGAGGACCAGGGCCCATCCCATCTGTCTCAAGAGACCTGTGTCAAAGTGGTACAGCATGGATAGAAGCACCCTGGCCAGATATTTGGCTCTGGATCACAGCTCCAGGGCACAAAGCACTTCCTGGCAGGTCCTCTGAAGCATGCAGCCCACCAGCATCTTTCCCCTGGGAAGCACTGCTTGGTCCAGAGCATGCCTTCAGTCGCAATAAATGCAAGCAAGGGGAAAAAGTGGCTTCACACCTGTTGCCAGCCAGGTTCTGCTTGGCACTGAGGTGCAAACATCTCATCCCCACTCTTGTGGGGAGATACAGAGGGAAGCATGTCCTGCAGTCCCAGGAGAGATTTGTATTATACCAGTGCACCTAAGCACCAAATGCCACACTTCCAGAGTCTTACACGTACTTTTTTAGAAAGAAGATGTGCTTTGTTGAACTTTCATCGCCCAAATTCCCACAGTGGTGTTGGCTTTAAAGCACTTTCTCACACAGTCCATAGTTCCCTTCAGGTGGAAACACAGCAGCTCAGCTGCACCATGAGTAAACAGCGCTTTACTTTTGTTTTCCGCTATTTCAGTCAGATGCATTGGGCCTATTTTTACCTTCTCCTCTGGTCCCTTGCTATTGTAGTATAAAAGGAAGAGAAGTCCATGTTGTAGTCACTCTTACATAGGCTGGATAAGCTGAGTTATGGCTGCTTTGTGTCCCAGTACAGCCCAGTGAAGGGGTAGCCTCTTGATGGTCCTTGGCATTGGAAATCATTTTCCACTAATTATCTTCAAAATATTTACTTTAAAAGCACTGTGAACAATCAGGCCAGGAAGCTTGTTTACTTGAACATTTCCTCAACAAGAGTGCAAACACCATTGAGTTTTTACACTTTTCTCCCAACTCTAAACAAACACTGTGGAGCCCTGCTCTGGATTTTGCTATGGTTAAAGAAGAACAAGACCTCTGGTGTTTATTTTTTCAACATATGTATATTGTCAAAGAACAGCTATGTTCATCAGTTACTTCCTATGCACTTACTTACTCCAATTCTTTCTTTCTTTCTTATAGGCATGTAGCCACCGCTCTAGCTCAGAGATAATCTGCTGCACAACTCCTTCCCTGAAAGCCTTCAACCTTCAACCACCCTTCGTAACCAAAGTGTTTTTTATTTTTGATGGTGTCAGCTCTTTGTACTTTGATTTTGATTATGTAAATAATCCTGTATTTAAGCATTTTGAAAAGCCATTGTTCATATCAAGAGGCAACCCAAATGTTCTGGAAATTAAGGTAAGACACATTGAAGTGAGTTTTTAAATTATTATGTTTTACACAATAGAAGTATTCATAAATGCACTGAAAGTTGTGAAGCACACATCAGCAGTGTTCTGTGGAACAGACATTTTGTTGAAGTAGAGGAAACCCCAAGGAAACAAAGGCAGGGAAGGACTGAGCACAGTGTGTTCAGGGCCACGTTCATCCAATCCCCCAGCTGTCACAACCTAAAAAGTAAAGAGGTGAAATCAAAGAGATACCAGGGCTGTTACTGCGATCAGGTAGGGAGGGAGAGGGGCTTTCATTGTCCTCTGGGCCCCAAGTGGGGCAAGCAGGCTGCATCAGCTTCTGACTACTACAAGCTGCACCAACAGTTCAAAATTAAACATGGCCAGCAGCCCAGAACCTGAAGTGTGTGGTCTGTGTTTCAGTCCTGGCTCTTACTGTCACTTTTTTTCATCCTTCCCCATGGAAGACGTGGAGTTACCTTTGAGAAGTGCCCCAGCAACTTTGGCTCTCTAGAGCTAAGGGAAATTCCGGTCTGTGCACAAAGTCATTCAAGAAGATCAGTCACCACTGAAGCCTAAATATTTATGGATCCATGAAAAATGCAAAGTTGATGCTGAGTGCCAGTTAAAAGAAAACTCAGAATAGCCTAGGCAGCACTGAGAAACATCTCTCAGAAATCTGGGGCCCTCAGAGGCAGTTTGATTTGTATAAGAGTGCTGCAGACTCACAAATCCATTTGTGAGTCTGATTTCCTGAAATGTAGTGTGTTTCTGATTTAGTGTCAAATAGAAATAGGACAAATACAGGTATTTCTAATTTATTATGAATATGGATAAAAAATGTTATTATGTACATTTCATTTCTATAGAATATTTATAATTTATATGGCATACAATGTATAAAAATCTTTAAAGAACAGAATCAACCTTAATGGTGGGGTCATCTCTTCATGAGCTCTGTAAGCCAACACTTTTTCCAGCCATGGAATCTGTGAGGCCTGTGGTCTTTGACTCCAAGATGATCCAGTGACCCAATTCTGGGCTGCAGATAATTGGACAGTTACCTGAGAGTCTCTGTCTGTCATGCTGGGTTTCAGTCAAACCCTCTGAATATTGATCTGACACAACAAAAGGTTTTGGGCAAATTCCAAAGAATGATCAGTGTGGGATCTAAACTTAGAAGCGCAGAAATAAAATGCTAGTTCTTAATCCAAAGATAAGGAGAACCACATGGAGAAAACCAGGAAACTATAATGGAGCAGGTTTACTTAGGAGCTCACAGGTCCTTTTTTTCAGCTAAATCACTCAATGCAGAGTGAACTTTTGCCTGTTCATGGAGAAATACTAGAAAGAGTTCTGGTGTGCAGATTAACAGAGAGCTGGGAATACATAGCTTTGGTATGGCTCGATGCCTCTGTGCAGTGACAGCAGTGGTTTCCAGTGATTTCCAGGTCATGTATTTCAACCAATTGGAAAGAAGAGATATAATTTGAGAAGAATCATGGAATAAATCAGATTGGAAGAAACCTTTGGAGGTCTTCATAGTCTAACCCCGATGCTCAAAGCAGGGCAAAGTTAAAAATTTGGTCAGCTTGCCTATGGCCTTGTCCAGATGAGTTTTGAAAACCTCGAAGCATACAACTCAAAAAAAAACAAAACAAAACAAAACAAAACAAAACAAAAACAACTCCTCTCTCTTTGCTTTATGCACCTTGTGCTTCAGCCTCTTTCCCATCTCAGTGGCCCTCTGCTGTTCTTTGCTCACTTTATCTTTATATCCCTTTTACTGTGGGGCCCAAAACTCAGCAAAATTCTCCAGGTGTGGCTGAGCGAAGAACAACAATCATCTTTTTCCATCTCATGGTTATGTTGCTGCTATAAGCACATGTTGAGCCTTCATCACTACAACAGCACATTGCCACCTTATTTCACCATGTGGTCCACCAGGACTCCCAGGTCTTTTTCTGCAGTGTCTTTCTGCCCTACTGTCCCTAAATGTCCTGGTACATGGGCTTATTCCATCCCAGGTGCAGAACTGTGTATCTGTATTTGTTGAATTTATGAGGTTCCTGCTGGCACATTCCTCCGGCATGCTGCAGACCCTCTGAACAGTGATTCTGCTCTCCAGTATCAGTCATTTGCCTACGTTTAATGTCATCTGAAACCTAAAAAGACAGTGCATTCTGTCACTGTTCAGGTTGTTGATGAAGATTTTAAACAGTATTGGTCCCAGCATCCCCCCATGAGAAATGCCACTTGTCAGATTAGTAATCTTTCAGCTGATGGTCCAGTCAGTTTTTTACACAATTTATAGTCTGCTCATCCAGTCCACATCATGCTAATTTGTTTTCAATACTAGGACAGACTGTGTTGCAAACCTTGCTAAAAGCAAGGTAGACATTGTCAAGTGCCTTCTCCTCATCTACAGAGCCCATCATCTCCTTACAGAAAACACTCAGGCAAAATCCACTTTTGGGAATCCTGTTCTGGCTGTTCCCAATTGCCTTCTTGTCCTTCCTCTGCCTGGAAATGCTTCCATGAGAACTTCCTCCATAATCTTCCCCAGGCACTTAGGTTAAAAATTAGGTGTTTTTTTAACTCTCGTCTTTCTTTACTTTTGAACATTTTATTCTCCCTTAAGGAGAAGTCCCTAGTGCTATTTATTGTAAAGAAAGAATGAGATAGAAAGTCTGGTTGAGGACTGTCCCACTGACAACTGACCAAAGTAACAATTTTGTAGGATTGATGTCACCTTGTAGCCATGGCACCCAAGGCAGATGTCTACCTAAGCCTGATGCCCCGATTATTTCCTGGCAACCAACTGGAGAATGACATTAGTGAAAGCTGGTCTCCTAGAACAAAGCATGAACAAGCACCAATTTAACATCCTCTTCTAAATAGAATTAGTTATAGTGGGATGCTTCCATCAAAACAGTGAGGCGGCTTTCAGAAATTATTGTAGGGAGCCAAAAGATCATTACAAGCCATATTGGCAACACTTTTCTCTAGCCCCGTACTCCCGTACAAAAATATACACACACAAGTTTACATGCCTCATGGTCATATTTTGTGTGGTAATTAAGCAAGCTCAGCATGAAATTAAATGGCAGCTTGCTTCAGTGAACAGACTGTTCTACCAAACCAAAGTTCTTTTATCTTTTCCTTAATTAGTTTCAGAGAGGTGGAGGGAGCTTTTATCACAAGTTTTTCAATCAAACTAATCTACTGTGACATATTTAGCTTTCATCAAATGACGGTGGGTACCGATTGAAAGGTGCTGTTTGGTTTCCCCTGATGACCACAAGTTGTTTTTGTAAGAAAATGTTAAATGCAAAGAAACATTAAGTCTTCTGTCTAAACACAGTCAGGGCACTGTGTGCCATGACTGCCAGCCTTTCTAGTCTTCAGTGCCAGCCCTTTTGTCTTCCACACTACCAAGTCTCTCAAGGACCGACATCATCATTGCCTTCCTCTGCCAAGTATGTGACTCTTTGAAGTCTCTTGCTGCCCACCATTCCCCGGTCAGAGTGGTCACGGCAGAGTGGCTTGAGGCACTTCCCTGCTTCAACACCACAAAGACACTACTTCAGAAGTGCTCCCATCTCCTGCCAACATGGGAAGCTCGCAGGATGGGAGAAATTCTGGCATTTCTCTGCTGGGGATGACTGCAGAAATGAGTCTGCTAAAGAGAACAGAATCTGCTCACCACCTCCCACAGGAGCCACTGACCTGGGCCAGAAAGAACTGGACAGTTTGTACAGAGGATTAAGTCCTGTGCTGATTTCCTCTGTGCCTCTGCTCGGAAGACTATCCCCCACACTTGGCAAAAGGCATTCGATCTCTCTGCAAGCGCCATTGTGGTATGAACAAAGAAACTCATAGTCCAGTCATTTTCCCTTTAAAGCCTCAGGTCACTTTGCACAGTCGGAAACTTCCACCTGAGGCCAGGGCAGGAAAGCAACCTGTCCTTAGATATTACAAGTGATAACACACTGCAGAGACAAGATAACCCCTATCAGCATTGCTTGGCAGCCTGTATTTGCTACGGGTGAACGTGACCTAACTCTGCCATGGCATCACTTTGGGGGTTCTTGAAAATGTCCTTTAATGACTTCTTGATGAAGGGCAGCTCTTGGAAGTGCTGCAGCAGACCCAAGGTTTTCAAGGTTTTGGGACTGTGTGTCAGGTTGCTACCCTCACCCTCTGAGGGCTGCAGTTGCTTTTCCATTGCTTCCCTCCACCCAAGCCTGGAGCACTAGTGTGAGCAGGGCTCACACTGGTGGGGAAGGGGCCTTGCCTTTCCCCGTGTGTCACTTTTTTGTTTGTTTGTTTTACTTCTAGTAATTGCCTGAGCTGCACAGCCTGCAGAGGTCTGGTGTGGTCAGGAGTGGTACTGTAACAGGTTACCCAGGGAGGTGGTTGAATCACTGTCCCTGGGGGTGTTCAAGGAAAGGCTGGATGTGGTGCTTAGGGACATGGTTTAGTGGGTGACATTGGTGGTAGGGGGATGGTTGGACCAGATGATCTTGGAGACCTCTTCCAACCTTAATGATTCCATGATCCTATGCACCAAGCCAGAGGTGGAGCTCTGCATGCTTCCTGAAAGGGCCTATGCCTAGGTGACTAACATCTATTTATAAATATAAAAGCTTTGACAAGGAAATAAGTAGCACAATTTGTTATGTTACACATCACATTAGAGATCTTGAGATCTGTTCTCTGCCACATCTGTCCTAAAACAATCGGTCAAGATTTAATCCCCTAGTCTATTGCTAAACCAGCCCAACACATTCTTTGTGAGATAATCTTAAGAAACTCTTCTTGTTCATTTACAGGTCAGTCTATTTTTCGTCTTCTTACACATGTCATAGAAAATTATGTTTCTGTTAATGTCCAGTCTGAGGGTGCAATGGAAATATTTCTGAGCAAGCTTAAGTGGAAGCTCTACTGCAGTAACTCCTCATTCTTCCCTATTTAATCTGCTCTGTTTAGGAATCTCAAAAATTCTTCTGACACTGATATCAAAATTTCCACAGCTCAGTTTTCAGTTTTTATACTGCTTCTAGACATTCATCCACATTATTCCTCTGTCTCTAAAGTTGTAAGGTAGTTAGCTAGTCTATCAGATTGGCTTGTGACAGCTACACAGTATAATAACTGTATTCTTCAGCTTGCATGTAAGGACATTACTCAGCAAGTAGGGAGTAATATGCATTTTAAAATAGGAAATACTGCTTCCTGGTTCTCACTGGAGTCAATTTCCTTATTTTCTTAAAACCATATGTAAATTTTTTGGTCCTTAGAAGAACAAATCAACTTCTTGAAAGAGGTCTGAAACTTTTGATATAGACAGATATTATACTGAATATTTTTGAAACTATAATGTATTAATGGTAATATAATGGTAATGGTAATAAATAAAAACTACTGCCTTCATTATAACTAGCTAATGACCACACTAGGAAATGCCGATATGTTTTTTCCTTTGAGTAAGCCAACAGTTTTGGTGGGAACAATTTTCTAAGATGCAGTGCAGAAGAAAAAGAGAGGCCACTCATCCACACTCTTTAGGACAATACATTTGTTCTGAAGATAGAAGACCCAAGTTCAGTTCTTTTGAGGTACATGTTTCAAAAGAAAGATTTGAACTTGAATGGCTCACAGTCTGCAGTAAGTTTCCAGACTAATAAGCACTAAACAGTCAATCAGTGCTCCCTGGTCCACTGAATATTCAACACCAAAAGGAATGCCTCCAAGAATGGCTTAGATAGACAAAAGTGAGCAAAATGGACTTTTTCTGCCAGCAGTTAAAAAGCACTCACCTGGGGTGTGGCTTCACTGGTCAAAGTAGAACATTAAACCAGCTCTCCTATATTTTTATTACAATTTCTCCTGAACTCTTTCTGATTTTGTAGCAGACATAAAAAATATATTCCAAAATATCATTTATTTTACCCTTCAGAATGGGTTTCTTGTTTTCATTTCAGTAGACGAAGCCTCACAGCAGAGTCAGGCATGATGCCTTCCTCCCTTCTCGTGAAAAACTCCCAGTTCAGCCCACATCAATAGACCATATTACTGTTACTCCCCATCCTCCCTTTTCCCCTTTTACTCCCTCATAATATGCCTGTTCTTTAATCTTATCTAAGCTGAACTGTACACGGGTCAGGGCAGAACTGCAGCTTCCTAAATACCGATGTAGTCCTGAGCACAAAAGATCCTGACCTTGGCCTTTGGACACTACTATATCACAATACCAAGAGGGATAATATTTCATCCAAGTCTAGGATCTGAAGGCAGGTTTTCTGAGTAGGGAGTGCACTTTTCATGTAATTTTTACCAGGGTTTGTTCCACTTTCGGTCTATGGAACGTGATTTTGACAGATTTGTGCATTTTTATGATTACTATTCGCTCGCTCTTTTTTGAAAGCTTCACTCCCTCAACCATAACTAGTTGCAAAACAAAATATTTGGGATGCCTTTAGTTTGTGGATAATATAATGACAGTTTTGTATTAACAACAGGATCACATAATGCTTTCTTTCTTGTGCAAATTATGCAAAAATCTAAACAGGACCATCAGAAATTATTCCTCAAACATTTGCATTTTTATAAATCCTTATGGGCTGTATGAGTGTTAGTGACAGGAGATTTTATCCTTAAACATTATCATCTCCCCCTCTCTGGCCTGTCAGTCAAACTCCCGTTTACATGAATAAACCTGGTATATGCACATCAACAGGGCAATGTAAACTTGTGTTAGTCTGTTTTATTTCACAATTGTTTTTCCATTAAAAACATTTTACAAGGTAATGAAAGGCCTTCTCCTTAACTTTCATGAGGTGGTTATGTAATATTAAATTGATTTTTTCTTTCTTTTTCTTTCCAAGGGAAATTATATTGATTCAGAAGCTGTTAAAGGAGAGGTGCTAAAAGTTGGAAATAAAAGCTGCGAAAACCTCCTCCTGCAGTCAGAATCAATTCTATGTACGGTTCCAAGTGATCTCCTGAAATCCAACAGTGAGCTAAATATAGAGGTGAGGCAGCTACACCGCACATGCAATATTCATGTCACTTTTATTATCAATGCCAATGACACTGTTGAACCTACAAACTTCAAATATAGGCATAAGCCTGTGTTTACAGAGGTATCTCCATCCCTGTTTGTTTGGGATAGAAATTCAAATAATATTGATTTTTTAAATAAATGTTATCATCATTGCTGTTATTATCTATCTGTACAGAGACTTTCTGGAGCCTTAGGCACAAAACAGGACCTAACCTAAGCAGCACAGGAACAAAATGCTAGTTCTTAGTCCAAAGATGAAAAGAACCATATGGGGAAGAACAGGAAACTGTAATGGAGTAAATTTACTTTTGAGCTCCAATTCCTTTTTCAGAAAAATATTCTGATACAGTCAATAGGATCAGACCCTTTCTGAAGGGTTTTTCTATGTTTTATATATATACACACACACACATATATATATATATATATAATAAATATATATAATTTAATTTCATTAGTTCTGTAAGATGCAGGCACTGAGGAGAAATGTTTTGAGTTTCACCATTGTTGTAAATGTGGTCTCACTAGAATCATTCAGAGTTCTACAGCAGATTTAAACCATAGGTAGTTTTTACCAACTGACTCAGAATAAGACACAAATCCTTCTGAATCTTTTTTTTTTTTTTTTTTTTTTTTTTTAATATAAAAATGTAAAAGCACGGGGAGGGGGTTACACTTGAACAAATGAATTTGCTGAGCATGGACTCTGATTCACTGAAAACAGTGGAAACTTTGGAAGTCAGCTAAGTGTGACCAGGATCAAAGTCTATGTAAACTCAGTGAAATCCTGATGTTTTATGTGTTACTACAATCTAAGTAAATAGTAATCATTAAATTATTTTATTAATACAGCAACTATTAACTTTCAACTTATTTTAATATGAATTTGCTTTGAAAAGTACAAATCCAGTTTCTTGGCAACTTCAGAATGAGCTCCCCTTTTGGCAAATCTGTTTCTCATATTTGTAAATGCCTTGTTTCATACAATATTTGTGCATATTTAACATTCTGCACCTATGTGTATTTTTACCTATTCAACTTCATTCAGTCTATTCTACAACGTGACAGTAGGCCATAACCTCTAGGAAAGAGATATGTGTGACGTATTCCATATGTAGAAAAGGATACAGCATAAAGGGGTTAAATAAGGTTTCTGCTTGTTTACTGGCAAGGAGCCTCAGAAATTGAAGTCTGCCCAGCGAAGAAGAAAATTTGCTCTTTTGACGGGCAAATCCATCATTACAGTACCCAGAGGAATGAATTCCACGGGAGGAAGAGAAAAGATGGCCAAATACATTCCAACTGACTGAGCTAGTGCCGTGTGATTTAAAACAGTTTTTCCCTGTTAGCTGCTCGGTGTTTGTTCGGTTGTTGATTTTGGGGGTTGTTTTTTTGTTTTGTTTTGTTTCTTTAAACTGTCAACAAGTTAGAAGCTGGCAAGGGACAGGCTCATGTGACCTTGGGAACTAAAATGCAGGCACACTGTCAACAGAAAGAGAGTATGATGTTACAGAGTGGTTATGCCAGAAGGACATATATCAAAGACATTTGGGCTTTTTTCTGACATTGTACATCTCAGGCCATGTATCCACAGACCCATTCACTTCCCTGCACCATTTGAGCAAAGGTGTGAATTTAGGATTTTGAATCAGCATCTGGCAGCAGTGGGATCCTGTTATCCAGAGTGCGTGTGCCATTTGTGTGGTGTAGCACATTCACAGCCATGTCCCTCTTGAAAGCACATAATGAATCATAAAAATGTAGAACTGATTTCAAATCTAATAATATATTTTTTTAATATTTTTCATAATATAATAATTTCTTCACTCCCAGTATCTTATCTCAGTAGAGCATCATCAAGTCAAGATTTAATTCTTATGGGACGTATCATCTTTACTTCAGTAATAATAATCTACTTCTTTCTTGTCTTTTAATATCATCACACTATCTACATTTTTTTTCTTTGTTTTTCTTTTTCAGTGGAAGCAAGAAGTTTTGTCAACAGTTATTGGAAAAGTGCTCATCAAGCAAGATCAGAATTTCACAGGACTAATTGCTGGAGTTGTTTCAACATCAGTTTTAATTTTTATCATTTTGGTATTTTTTTTCTGGAGAAGGAAGAACAAACAAATTAAAGGTCCATCATAGTCAATTCCATCAAATAATTTAGTTTTTATATCTTAGATTTTAAGTATACTTCAGTTTATGATCTGCTTAAGTGCCACACAGTGCCCTTCTGTAACCTGTCACCAAACTTTCACAATCTAGTCCGACGTTCAGTTGCATTTCAGCTCTTGGCTATTGCCTGAGCTGGGTGAAGGGCCATGCTATGCCTACGGAAGGATTTCAGGGAAATTCTAAGCTATTAGGGAAACTTAGTAACTTCTCTGTCATCCTTAGAAGAGGAGACAAGTAAATGACACACTTACAACCAGGTGTATTTCAGCTTCATCCAATGGCCTTGTAGTTCTTCAGGCTGTGCCTAGGTTGTGCAAGACAGAGCACTGCAGTGTCCTGGTGTCCTGTTCACCTAAATCAGGAACTTGATCAAACTGTGCCTCCTTTCTGTCCCATGTGTCTGAGTTTCCTTCCAATAGGAAATACTGTGCTATGCAAATGGGAAGGAAGAGGGACCTACTATATAACCAGGTACCTGATGTGGTATCACGGTCAGGTCACGAGGCTGGCCCCAGAGGCTTCAAAGCTCCTTTGGATCTTTCAGCATGGCCAACAATGGGGCTTTAATACAAGTTACAGCAATTCTCGTATTACCGAAATAGCTGAAGTTCAGATCCTGCCCATCATTGCCTCCACAACAACCTGACCCTCTTCCCAGCAGAGCAGAACATCTAAATTTAAATATACCTAAATGAAAGTTGCCATACAGTAAACATGCGGGTTTTCCAATATTTCTTTCTCCTCCCCTTTCAGATCTGGGAAGCGATCTAGTGCGCTATGATGGCAGAGTTCACACTCCTCATCTGGACAGGCTGGTGAGCGCAAGGAGTGTAAGTCCAACAACGGAAATGGTCTCAAGTGAATCTGTAGATTACAGATCAACTTTTCTGGAAGGTACATCTCTACTGTAAATCCATACAGATAATGAAATTTTATACATCTTGCTTTTCATCTGTCTTCAGGTTATAGCTATTTTGACTAATATCTCAATTTCTATTTTTGATCTGGTTTGCCTGTGTCTTTGTTGTATAGGGACTAACATGGTTTACTATTCGCAGGTTTACTATTTGAACTGATTTTCTATAGTGCTTCCAAAGATTGAGGTGCAGAGGATGCATGAATATGAATATGTTTAATATGTGTGGAACCCGTGATATTGATTACCACTAGACAGTCCTTAACTATTAGGAGTTACCATACTAAGATATTTGAGATACCACAGATGTGTATTAGTCTTTGTGTAGGCACTCTATTGTACTATTCCAGGTAGAAGACTGCTCTATGTATCTTAATAGAAATCACTCCAAATCCGTATTCTACCTTTGTAATTCCCAACCATGGAGCTGTCTGAGAGCCGGGCCAGTTCCCAGCTTCCTCTATGATTCTTTAATTGTTGCCATCAGCTGGCACAGGAAGCTTCTTAACTGAAAGATTCCTGAAGGAAAGGAAAGCCTGTGTCAGTGTTCAGAAGGGAAAGAGGTACAAGGGACAAAACTGTGGAAAGATATTTGTTGGGAGGTAAATCATCAATGATCCTGGGGCCACTATTCACTGGCAAAGCACTGCAGAGAACACCCCAAAGAAGGAGGTTTGTTCACAGAATATTGCCATAGGAACGTTCATTTCAATTACTGTAAAATAATAAAATGACAGGAACATTAGAAAATATGGACCCTTACATGTAGCAGCTATAAAAATGATTTCATAATTTTAGCTAATTTTATCATTCATGTTAAATAGATACCTGCTTTTCGTGATATAAACATGGTTTTGTAAATGGAATAGTTTTTATTTTTGCTTCTAGGTAAAGCAACACTGAGACTTTCTCTGCACCTAGTGTGATAATAATATGTGAAAATCTCTCAGGTTTTATACATAAATATATAAAATATGTCTGTGCAATAAGGTAACTGATAATTTCTGTTGTCAAATTTATTCCCTTTTTTCCTTCTTGACCTTGGGCTGATTCCTGCTCACAGACTCCACTGGAATCATTCCAGACCAAAATTGGTGTAAATTAAACTTGGTTCCTTGATTCTATCACTTAAAATGCCATGAAAAATCATTTAAACAAAAGCAAATTAACATACATGAACATGATATTGACAAAAATAATTATCTCAAATAAATGCTCCTTGCTTGACTGAAGCATTTTAATTTCTGCTCTTTTAAATCAGCTGGCTCATGTTATTTTCATGAGTAGCACCAACTGTATTATCTTCAGTAGTTACAGGATATGAATCACCTCTAGGCATTTCCCTGGTTGAATATTTACCATTGGATAAATATAGCTAGTCACCAGCAGTTTGGAAACCTTCATGAAAAGTAGAGCTACCTACCAAATTAGAACATGACAGTAATACAAGGTTTCATGTTTTTAATTGTTCACTACTTCCTTCTCCCATATTATTGTCATTTTTCCATTTTACTCTTGTTACTCCCAATTACTAGAAATGCCATAAACTACACTTGGCAAGAAGTGACAAGACCTCATTTGATCCCTCAGAAAAGTGGAAGTTTTTCCATTTACTTTCAAATTTACTTTATTTATTTACTTATTTATTTTTAAGTAAAGTTGAGACAAGGTTAAGTTTTTAGTGACATGGTTTTCCTGGAGTTTGGCAGACTAGCAATGCATATTTTCATTTTCCCTTTGTGAGCAAAACTTTTGCAAATCTAAGCTACTTCCAAACCAATAAACTCAAACCCTAGCTCACCAATGAAACAAAGTTCTTCATTTTCTGAGGAGAAGCCTAAAAGGATTATAACAGTTCGTGTTTTGTTCATCTTGCAGATCAGTTTCCAAGCATGTCTCAGAATGGATCGTGCAGACCTGCCCAGTATCCTCACTCTGACCTCTCCCCAATTCTGTCCAGTGGGGATTCAGATTTAGCCAGTCCACTTCTTCAAACCAACGTCCACATTGATATCAGTGCCTTAAATCCTGACCTGGTCAAAGAAGTCCAGCATGTGGTTATTGGTGCTGACAGCCTGATCGTGCATTTCAGTGAAGTAATAGGAAGAGGTAGGTACTGTGACTTTTGCCTTGCAGTCTGGTGTTCTTTTTGCATATCCATTCATTGTAAAACATTCTGAACAAGGTATCTATATGGAGGTTTTTCAGGCCTTATACCTCTTACAGAACTGCATCCCATGCACTGAATTAAGGGGAGAACCAAAGAGGTTCTCCTTTGAAGTCAGATGAGGGGTTGTGCGATGAGTTGAAGAAGACAGCAGAAAAGGGAAGGAGTCTGACATTTAATGAGACTCCTTTGAACTCAAGAGATTTGCTGATCCCGCTCAGCTGCCTCACCCTTATCCTCTTCCAGGCCACCAAAAATCTTAGTCTGATCCATGAGGCTGCAAAGCAGGAGTGAGGCTACAGCAGAGCATTGCACAAGCTGAAGGCAAACACCTAAATAGCAGGAGATGCTAAGGAGGAACCACTAGTGAGTCCTAAACTCCTACCCTGAAAACTGGCAGGATTGCTGTATGACACTGAAATCCCCACAGTGACTAAATGTATTCAGTAAAAGTCCCCATGGATCAGGTGAATGCACACACCCATTTGTCCTTCATGAGTTTCCCCCAGCTCTGAAGAGTTCACTCTTTCCTCCTGTTGAAGGCTCTCTCTTCCCCTTCATTCCTCTTTCATCCCAAGAGCAGATCTCTGTAGCTCTTGATTCCCATCCCTTTATTTTTGTCCCTGATAGAGTAAGTCTCCTATTTGTTCTGAATTTTTCCAGTCACCCCTATTCCTCTTCAACTTCTTAAGTGGGTTCTCTCCCAGTTCCGAGTCAGTATTTCTGTTAGTGGTATTTATTAAAATCCATACTATTGAGTACATACTAGTAACCCAAGTGGAAACTGGATTTTCAGTACTTCTTCAGATCATGCATAAGAGGTCTCCCATTGAGTATCAGAATCCTGATAAAAAATAGCTACATATGATATTCCTAATGTCTCTTCTGCAGGAAAATAGCCAGAAGTCAGACACAGTCAATGTGTTTCCCTTCCATGTATTACACTTCATCATCCCCAAAGTAAGGGTGGGCCTTTTGCTTTTTATTTTTGTTTCAAAGAAGGCCAAGTAATTTCCCATTTTTAAATGCTGATTCCTGATATTTTAAATATCAGGAATGACAACAAATAAATTAAGCCTTTTTTAATTTTCACCTCCATAACGAGAAATGGGCCAAGCCCAAAAATATTTCAGACACACCCAATCTAAGCTTTAGGATTTGTGCCCGGGCTCCTAATGATCTTTGTCTGGTGGGATTTGAGTTGCTTTTATAAAACAAACTTTGCATTAATTTTACCCCAAGCCAAAATCAAAGCCAACAAGGCTCTGGCCAGGGCTTATGACTGGAACCTAGCAGTATTATTCAAATAGTCTTGTGGTCTCTGCAGAGCTCACACCTGACAAAAACTAAAAACTAAAAAAAAATGAACAAACAACAACAAAACTTATTTTACTTTCTAACTGAAAATATTAATATTTTAAAAGTGCCTACTAAGTAGTACACCTGTGAAGGAAATTCACCATTGAATGTACATAATTTGATCTGGTTGAATTAGTGCATGTGCCTTGAACTCGAAGTTCTCTGTGTTTTTCAAACAGGTCAAGCTCACTTCTCATATTAGGGCTCCCCAGTCTTCACACTACCCCATTTTTTTGACAGTAAAGAACAGGTTCAGGAAGGCATTATGTGTCCCTTCCAGATTATTTCACTGTTTAGACTGTCAGCAGGAAGGCAATTTGGGCTCATCATTTTTCAGTGATACTTTGCATCAAGAACTAGGCCGTGACAGAAACCATAGACTACCTCCCAGTGACGTGGTTAATCTGTGATCAGTAGAGCAACTTCCAAACCTTTAATAGCCAACTCACCACTGATAACACTCAACATTTTCTATAAAATAGTAAGATCTGAAAGATAGTAAGCCCACAGTGCCTCCTTATTCAAATTACAACTGAAGATGCGTTGAGGCTGTACAATTTGCTGGACCAGTTAGCATGGGATAACAAACCACTGGGAACAACTGATGCAGTTGGGCACATCAGCTCCTTCTAACTGCTGCTGCCTTGTACCTTCCAGTACCCTTATCCATAATTCCAACAGGAGAGTATGGTAGCAATGGGCTGACATGGTTTTTGTGTGCATAGTCATTGCAAGAATAAGAAGCAGTTGTGGCGCCAGCCTTGTCATTATTTATATACTTCATCTAGGTAAAGAAATATCAATTATGCTGCAAATAGAGTTTTCATTTTATGTAATGACAGTTTTATGTGTTAGTTCTGAAGTGCACATTACAAGTGTTGGGAATTGGACAGAAATGGAGTGTGATTGCTTTCTTAAAGCATAATTGCTATCCAGTGGAAAATAACAGAAAGTTAATTTTACTTATTAAAGCTAATCTTTTTCATTTTTTACACAGGACATTTTGGGTGTGTGTACCATGGGACGTTGCTGGATAACGATGGCAGGAAAATTCACTGTGCTGTGAAGTCACTGAATAGTGAGTTAACTGTTTTATAGTGAGATATTACCTCAATTCCAAAGAAAACTGAAGAGAACTAATCAATTACAGTGAAGTGCACTTTCACAAATAAAAATTTTTAGCTGCAGCTGGATCAAATTTATCAATGGAGCAACTCCAATGACTTTAGATACCACAAGGTATCTAAAGTATATGGTATATAAGATTGGTATATACTTGTTCATCAAATGAAATGTTCATTACATTCTTTCTATAAATAACAGGACATATAAATAAGGGAAAGATGGTATCATTTTTTATCCTACTGACTATTTAAGATTTGCTTTTGGAAATTAAATTGCTAAGCAGCAGGCAAAGCTGCCAGAAAAACAAGAAGAGACTGTAACAAAATTTATTAAAGGCTTTATTCAAGTGTTGTTATTCCATTCATACCAAGAAGACGAAGAGAAATGTAATTAAAATGAATTTTAAAATAATAAAAAAATAATTAAAAATAGTGCATTTGGTCACTGTCAGAAAAACTATGCACATAGCCTAGTTGTAATGTGGGAGGTGAGGAGCACATTTGTAGCTTCTCATTATCAGTTTCAGTTGTGCAAAGACATGCTGTACAGAAATGAACCATAGTTCAATATGTTTTGTTTTTTTTTATATTTGTTTAATTTTATTACTGGATTTCTCAGGGATTACAGACCTGGAAGAAGTAGCTCAGTTTCTGAAAGAAGGAATAATCATGAAAGATTTCACTCATCCCAATGTTCTGTCGCTCCTGGGAATCTGTTTGCCTAATGAAGGATCCCCCTTAGTCGTCCTTCCATACATGAAACACGGAGACCTTCGAAACTTCATTAGGAACGAGACTCATGTAAGTACGCGGTGAGGTCAATGAAACAATAATGCAAGTCTAGCCGCACCCTGCTCCGACACCACATGTTATAAACTCTGATAATTACATTACGTATATAGCTTGCTGCTGTTGTTACACCTTAACCTTTGGCACTTGCCTAGGCTGGCACCGAGCCCAACCACAGCACTGCCACTCCTTCCCTTCCCCCTCGAATTCCCTTCTACAATGTTTCCCAGAAATTATCAGCAATAAGTATTTCTCATTTCCCATCCATAAGCCTTTTTATAAACAAATGTGGTTATGAGATTTAAGTCAAGGGGCCCAACCATCTGCTGGTTTAAAGTGGCATATCTCCGTTGACTTCAGTAACAGCTGTGCCAGTTGTCACCATCTGCACTTCCAGCTCCTAGGTAAGGGATCTTCACATCCTGCTAGAGAGTGTCACAGTCCTGTTATCAATATTTTTAATTCTTATCTTAAAAGATTAAACCAGTAATTGTTATTTTTTAATTGTTATACAAACTACTTTCTCATCAGAGATTTTCTTAATTTTCATTGAAAGGCTACAGATTTCTCATACAAGCCTCACTTTTTTCTCTCAAGTATGAGACTACAGGTACACTTTATACTGTACTCTTCGCTCATTTTGCAATGGTAGGGCACTATAAAATAACTTCTGAGCCAACAGGATTTTGCCATTGATAACAATCAACAATAGCCAATAATTTATTTAAAAAAAAAAAAAATATTTTGAAAAATTGTTGGTGGCGTTAAGCTTTCTAAGGTAGGTACCTCTTCCCTTTTGAGCTTATTTCATTCTGCAAGCACCAGAGACCTTATCTGTGCATAGTGTCATGGGGCTCCCTGAAATAAATAGAAAAATAACCACAGTAGAACAGGATTGTTGCACAGAAGGAAAGGATATGGAACAATGTCAACACAGCAATAATCTGTTGGACCTTACTGTTACATAACAGGTCATGTTGTTGGATAAAAGAATTACAGGTTTATTTTTATATTTATTTCTATATTTAACATTTTCTGTAAGGTCTCACCAGTGTGCTGTAGACCAGCAGGATTACCAGTCTTTCCCTGGAAACTGCTAAGGTCTCGTTCGCCTTTTCCATGGCATCATACTGATGATAGCTTGCACTTATTTTGTCCCAAATATTTTGCCTTCCTTTCTGGCCATTTCCAGCTGATGAACTGCAAGTTCACAGTTAGCAACTTCTACTGAGTTACATGCTCTAAGTTCACAAATGTAAATTCTGTATATCAGCTGTGATGTTGAAGTTTCAGAAAATTGTTCAGCTTCCCAGCCCAGGTAATGCGGTAATGCTGCTTATGCTGCAAACTCCACTCTTCTGGAGTCTTTCAGTTCTGTTGATTTCTTCAAGTGTTTCCTCACTGGATGTAAGAACCTGACTGAACTTAGGCCAGTTTTACTATGAGCACCAACTTGTCTCAATCATTCTGTTGACAAGATAGGCAAGTCAAAAACTGAAAGTTACAGAAAAAAAAAAAAAAAAAAGCCTGCTCTTTGGGTTTCTGCATTCATTATATCATGAATGTTTATATTTTACAGAACCCAACGGTAAAAGATTTAATTGGATTTGGCCTTCAGGTTGCAAAAGGGATGAAATACCTTGCAAGCAAAAAGTTTGTGCACAGAGACTTGGCAGCAAGAAACTGTATGTAAGTATAAACATCTATTTCTAGCTACATTATCACACTCTTTTGTGTGATACAAACAGTGAGATGAGGTAAATAATAGTTTCCAGGATCTTCTTTTTTAGTCAAACCGGAGTTTTTTCATTGTTCCACAATTACACTGATGTTTGTCTTGCATGCTGATGAGCTACTCAGCTTGCTAAAGGCTCACTTGTTGCACATAAGCTTTTTTGAGTGTGGGAAATAAGAAAAGCTGAGGTGAAAGTGGAGTCTCTCAAAACCATTGGTTAGAGAATTTAAAAGGCATCTCCTTAGGGAAGTTAAACTGCTGTTGTCTCAACTTGCTGTGCTTCCACCCAACCTCTTCAGAAGCAGCACGTCTCTGCTGCCGCGCCTAGCAGTAGGGAACTTTGTGAGAAAAACAGGAACACAAAGAAACAATGGTGAGACTTCTTGACAGTAATTTTTCATTACATAAGTATGAGTTTACTTTGTCTCAACTGTGCACACAAATTTAAATTAAAAAATAAGAGTATGCAAAGAATCTTACTAGTCTCTGGGTAGCCAGACAGTTCAGTTCACAAAAAGACTAACTGATACAGCAGTTGCAAAGAGTATTATGCTGATTCATCACCTATGTTGTGAACTAATGAGATACAGTACTAAATGATGGAGTTTATTTTTAACATGATAATTTGGAACTCTGACTGCAAAAAGGTTTTTCACTCGCAACATTAGGCTTCTTATGCTTTTTCAAAGTGTGCACACACGCAGTTGAACAGCTTCTGGAAAAGAAAATTTCCTTGCAGCTGCTGTTGTTTTTTTTTTCTAGGGAGCAAAAAAATAGCAACCAACATGATTTTCAGGTTTCCTAAGAACAAAGAACAAATGGGGTTACTGAATAAGAGTCCTGTTTCATCTCAACTAAGTCCAAGGAGTAGCAACAGGACACTTCCCTCTCACATACTGTCTCTTCCTTGCAGGAAAAAGTAACAACTATCAGCTATCAGCTATCAGGATATCTCATATTGACTACTGAATGGCTGCTTTTATATGGCTCCGTACTTCAGAGACTGGATAGCTGCTACCACATGAGAGGAAAATGTGCTCAGAAGCACAGCCCCTGTTACAAGGGTGATATCCATCAGAAAGAAAAACAGGATGCAAATATAGTCCCCATGGACTATTGAATCTATTCCACTATCCTAGAAGAAGTGCAGGAAGCAGCTATGTCATAAAGTGCCCTCCCAACAACCCATAAGGGTTCCCTCCTACTCCCTTCAGGAGCTGGACTTGGTAATCCTTGTGGGTCCCTCCTAAATTGGGATATTCCATGATTCTATGATTCATTGGTATTGGTTTTGTTATTATATCAATAAATACAAAAAAAAAAATGTGTGCCATTCAGAGGAACCTCAACAGGCCAGAGAACTGGCCGAACAGAAACCTCATAAAGTTCAAGACAGGGAAAGGTTAAATGGAAAAGCCAAAACAGTAGCATTGTTTAGCCTGGAGAAGAGAAGGCTTGGATGGTGTTTGGGGGGATTATTCATATGTGTAAATATTTGATATGGTGGCATAAAGAAGCTGGAGCCAGATTCTTCTAACTCTTTTTCTCTGAGATTGGTTGAAGACATGCACAGGCTACCCGGAAAGGTTTTGGAGTCTCTATCCTTGGAGATATACAAAGCCCAACTGGACATGATCCTGGTCAAACTGCAGCAGCTGACCCTGCTTTGAGGAGAGGTTTTGGACTAGGTGATCTTCACAGGTCCCTTCCAACCTCACCCATTCTGTGGTTGTGTGAGTCTGTAAAGACCAAAACAGGCGGTTGCGGTAGCTAGGTCTAAACTTATGATGAAGGATAGGTTTAAGCATGCTAACACCCATGCTCTTTTCTGTCAATGATGCTGCTTATCAGAACAAACACTGAGCTTAGGAAGACCAAAGCTAGGGACATGTTGCAGCATGGCTGAGTTGTAACCCCAGCAGAATTTGCTTTATGCCACCATTCTTTCCCAGTACCCATTTCAGTACAGACAACAAACATGTCCTTAGTGACAGGACCACATCATTAGATGTGGGCAGTCACTGAGATAATGATATGTCCTTCCTTATCCAAAATGAAAGTGAATAGGAAAGGTGATACTTTGATTTGGAAATACAAATGAGAGTTTTCTAAGCATACAGGAGAAGAAACAGATGTGGAAGAAATGATGTAGCATTTAAACAGGATGTATAGGCTATTAGCAAAGATCTTTTTCTATGGAACAATTGTTTCAAAAGACCTATAATTTGAACTGTATTATCAAAACAGTATCAGTAATTTCCCAAGTTCATTCACTGTTGTTAAATGGGTATCAAATATACTTTGCTGCACTTTTTGTTTTACTGTAATATTAGTTAATAGTTCCAAGACAACATGTTGCCTTCCAAAGTCACGGTATCAAAAATGCAAGTCAGTCTTTATAATCTGCCATCATTGTAAATACTGTCTGCTCAGCTGAAGATAACACTTTTTGTCAATTCTCCAGGTTGGATGAAAAATTCACTGTCAAGGTTGCTGATTTTGGTCTTGCTAGAGATGTCTATGATAAAGAATACTACAGTGTGCACAATAAAACAGGAGCTAAACTGCCAGTGAAATGGATGGCTTTAGAAAGTTTACAAACTCAGAAGTTCACAACAAAGTCAGATGTGGTAATGTACAAACATATTTGTATCACCTATTAATTTCTCTCATATTGCCTTCTAGCATTTAAAGAATGGAGTAACTCCAAACCAGAACTTCTATTTGAATTTAACTTTAGTTCATGTAACAATAAGCGACTGTTTTTATAACCAGAAAAGGCATTTGTCCCAATCACAAAGCAACAAGATGTTGACCTAATTATCTGTTACTACTCAGGAAAGAATTAGGAGTTTAATCGCACTCCAAGGGAAACTAAGGACATTCCCAGGAGCCAAGTTGGAGCTGAACCTTGTTATAGGAGGGGCTCTGGAAAGCTTGACAAAACAGCAGGTTAACTTTGACACTCTTAGAATGTAATAGTTCTCAAAAAGTCCTTAGTTGCTTTATAAATGCTATTGACTGCCTACAGCAATCTCAAGTATTACCTGTCCATTTATGAAGAAAAAATTATAAGCTGAAGTCATTAGTTGGCTGGATCACTTTGTATTTTAGCTCTCCTTTCAATCCAGATTCAAATTAGCCTGTGATGCATAGAATTTTCACCACATATACTCTCCTCAGTATGTATTTGCACAGGTTTAGTCAGATCATCAGATCATGTAAATTGGCAGCACTCCACTAACCTCAAAAGAGGTCTGCCAATTTATACCAGCTAAGTAGGCCTATAGGCTTTTCTTTTCTTTTATTTGGTTGAGTTTCTCTGGCTCTAATTTAAGTGGCTCCTCAAGTCCCTACAGCATTTATTAGCCCACTTAAAAGAAAGCTGAATGCAGTAAAATAACTTCTCAAAGGAAAACCAACGCACTTGAATATTTAAATCTGTCAAACTATGTTCTAAAACTGGAATGTAAAGCTCTCCAACCCTATCACTTATTATTTATTTCTTTGTTTTCTTAGTGGTCCTTTGGGGTGTTGTTATGGGAACTTATGACAAGAGGGGCACCACCTTATCCTGATGTAAATTCTTTCGATATAACTGTTTACTTATTGCAAGGAAGAAGGCTGCTACAACCTGAATACTGCCCTGATCCACTGTAAGTAGTTTGCAAAACCTTCTGCAACTGCTGCTGATTCTGATGTTAGAGCAACTGAGACTGTGGGGGAAAAAAAAATGTGTGTTTTGTTTTGTTTTTCCTTTTTTACATAATTTCATAACTGAACACTTATTTTATTTGAATGGCAGGTATGAAGTCATGCTGAAGTGTTGGCATCCAAAACCTGAGATGCGTCCAGCATTTTCTGAACTTGTTTCAAAAATATCAACAATCTTCTCCACTTTTATTGGGGAACACTACGTTCATGTCAATGCTACTTACGTCAACGTGAAGTGCATTGCTCCCTATCCTTCTCTTTTATCATCACAAGACAATACAGACATGGATGTAGACACATGACGGGTATGTCTAAAATAGAGGAAAATCAATTCATAGTTGTATGAACGAAAAAATGAAACCTTTTGTCCACAAGTTTTTACTGCCCGGTCTTTGTGAGAACACTGTTGCACATGTTTATGTTGTTGCCCAAGTTGCACTAGTACAAGGACGTGATATCGTATTGTTTAAGGCTATGGGATTCTGTAAACCATCACAGTAATTTCCAAGTATTTGGACAACTGCATCAATTTACCAAATGGAAACATTGTTTGCTACCATCCAGAGCTAGTTCTCACTAGTTCTCATTAATGTGTGCTCGGACCCAAGAACAAAGATTCCTCATTAATGCCATGAAGAAGAATGTAGAATACCAATCAGTAAGGCTGGAAGGACTATTACTGTTGCATGTACTTTAGGATAATGAGCAGTGCAGAAATGGTTTTCACACAAAAGGCTAAGACAAACAATGATACTTACAAGAGTTTTAAAATATATTTTCCTCCCACACAGTCCAAACTTTGGAATTTTGCACTATATTAACTAGGTTTCTTAGAAGATAAACAGCCAATAGAGCCAGCTTCATGGTAAATGTCTTCAACAGCAGAAATTAATATCAAAGAATTTGTGCACAGTAAAATAAGCATGTCAGCCTTGCCAGTCCTCTTATGTAGTCAGACGGTACATAAAATGAGCAGAAAAGCATCTAGCTTAAAGCATTCCTAGTGTCAACTTTATTCCAACGTTCAACCACTTGAGCAACAGCCTATATTGACGGATCACTCACTGAAAAAAAATGCAAAGCCTCCAACTCTTTCAGTAAAGTAACTATTCTCAGAGACTAAAAACTTGAAGACATCCATATTAAATGCCAGGATAATCCCTGGGATGTAGTAACATGGGCTGCATTATTCTAGAGAGGTAGAGGAGACAGGCAGGCTGGCTACTATACGGAGCTGCTGTCTGGTGAGTCACACAGCAAAGGAGCTGAAGGTGTGCCACCTACCCTTGGGTGGAGCTGCTGCCAAAGGTGAGTAAAGAGTGGAGGTGTTGCAGCCAGCCCTGACCTAAGAAGACTGTGCCATAGCAGGCATGTTGAAAATTTTTTCATGCCAGCCCTAAGAAGCTAGAAGACTGATTAAAAGAAGAAAACAGCTTTAGGCCCCCTAACCTCTTCTTGGATCACACAACTGAGTGAATTATGATACCTACTTTTATTTCTACATTTTAACAAGAGAAAGAAAATGAAGAGAGAGAGAGTAAATGAAACTTTCATTCATTAGAGGGGAGTACTATAGCTTTAGGGCAAGCATCACATGTCATTTCTGTTCCTGTGGAATTCTGTGCATACTACTGTATAGCTTGTTTAGTATAGGATAGAACTGGGTTTGTTGGTGTAAACACATAAAGTATTCTATTTTTATATTAAAAAAAAAAAAAGTTTATTTTTAATGACATTTACAAGGTTTGGTTAGGCCACAAAATACTGCACTGTGAACATTTCAGAAAACGTATGTCAACGTACATGATTCATAAATTGTAGCAACCTTAAAATACTGTGTAAATATTAAAAAGGAAGATAACTGACTGCAAACACACTCCACCCTAAGTATAATATCTCTGTTGCTTCAAGCCAACCATTTTAAGATCTTCAAAGAGAGGTAGTGTGGATAAAGAACTGATATAAGGGAGATATGTTGTTCTTTGGAGACAGTGTTATAACAGAAAGATTTATAATGAGGCCAGAGTGTGTAGGCAAACTACGAGCAGATAGTATTGTACTGTGTTTCATCACTACTTTCATTTCAGAAACAAACTTTCATGTCTGCTGAGAGCAATACTAATTGTAGATTGCTCAAGGACAAAAGGCTTTGCTGCAGGCAAAAAAATCATCTCTATGGTTGTTAAAACAGCTAAGGAAGTTTATGACACATAGATTTGGAGAAGATACTCCAGACTTGTACATACATGCTTGAGGAACGCTGCAATGTGAAACAGAGGACATTTTTACTATTTATGAACTTTTGCTTAATAAAGTTAATGTTGTGTCTGGGACACCTGTAAGAATACGTGATTCTGGTTAAGATTTGATGTTAGTAAGTTCATGTATCTGCAGAAGAGCTGAATGGTACTTATGTTCATAGTTGTTGTTATGACCTAATAAACAAGTTATTAAAATGAATTATTGTAATACTTTATGCTCTGAGTGCTGTTATTACTGTTAACATTTGTCCATTAAGCTGATAAAAGTCTGTACTTTTTTTTCTGACTAAGATGGGAATAGCAAACAATAGAACTGTGTGAAAGAGAGCAACAGAGAGGAAAAACTAAGAAACCTCAAAATATGGAGAGCACTCCAATAAATCAAGCACACGGGTTCATCAGCCCAGTACTGTATGCTTCAGAGAAAAGTGCAGAATATACTGTAGCGAACAATTTTGGCAATGTCTCTTTGGTTGGAAAGTTTCTTCCCTATTCACAGGCTGCACCCACGCAGTGCCTTAAAATTCTTCATGCACGTACTGTTGGGGATGACATTTGAAGCTCTTCATGTAGGCACTGCAAAGAGTAGCTGCTTAGCCCAAGGATGGATGAATGACAGTGTTCACGTTCAGTGTCCAGGCTCCCTAATCAGTCATGAGCCACAAGGAACTTCAAGCACAAAAGTGCATCTGAACCTATCACAGCTATGAGGATCATGGTCATCTATCATGCGTTTCATTTCTACGAGGTGGTTGGTATCTGTGGCACCTGAAGAGAGGAGGCTTTCTAGTTTCCAGGAGTCTTAGTTCTTTGGGAAGAACAGGAGTCAGCCCCACTCTTCTCCTCAGTCAGACTACAGATTTCCCATTGAACTCACAAATTCACTTCTGTAAAGTGAATTTCGAGCCAGTACCCCACAAACACTGCAATGTTCAGTGCCCTGTGTGACTCATAAACATGACAAGACTAAGAGCTGGTTCCTCCCATGGCTTACCTGTGTGGCATTTTATACTTACTTCACTCTGAAATATTCTGGTGCACAAAGTCTCAACTGATTAAAACCAGCATTTATATGCTCCTGTAATTTCAAATTATCAAGGAAACCACATTTTTTCCAGTTACATTTCCTTATTAACAGAAAACGCATATGCTTGGTTTCACCTCAAAATGTTAAAATATTTGGGGGAAAAAACACGTTGAAAGTAGCAGTTCTTCTGTTGTGTCACAAGCCCAATGCAACTAAATGCTCTGATATTTTTAATTCTGTTTATTTACATCCAATTTATTTTTCAACACTTTTTCAGGATTTCCCTGAAAAGTCAGTAAAACCTTTCCAAGGTTATCTTGCAGTCTGCTATTAATATCAGGGCTTTCAATCTAAAACAGAAAAATGCACAGCAAAATGATGGTCTGAACTTAAATACCAGATTTGTAACACATTCCTCTGATTACGACTTGATTTTAAGAGATGCTATATATTGTATTTTTGAAAGAGTCAACAGAATCATAAGTTTCCCATGCTCGGTTTCTCATCCTAGTAACTTTGCTTATACCAGGTACACCCTGCTTCAGATCTGCCTCTGACTTAAACTGGCAGCAGTCCCCTGACATTAATATTAACAGTAGATATGGCCCATGACCAAAAAGTTACATAAGGGATATCCTATGCATAAGCCAAGAGATAGGAAGGGATAGGGAGGAATATCCTCACCCCACAGAAATGATGCTGTTGATTTTAATCAAAAGTTTGGGTGCATTGCTAACTCAACCACTGTAAACAATTTGCCTATATTAAGGAAGGGGTTTTAATATATTCAACAATATTAAAGGTTTTGAAGAAAAAAAAAAAAAAGAAAAACAAACAAAATGGTACACAGTATAATTGGCTTGCTAAGGTTTTACATATGGCTTACTTTCTATATATCATGTTAAATACAGTCATGCAGCGCGGACTTACATGCCTTATGTAACCAAAGGAAGAGGAAAGGTACATTACAACTTTGTTACAGAAGCAGTATGGGTGATCAGCTGTAAAATAGCATCAAAATAATTTTCAATAATTTCATTTCTGGCATTAAGCTATAACATTATGTCCCAGGAAGAGGTAAAAGCTGATAAATGAAATACAAATCCTTCTTTTTTTTTTTTTCTTACTAAACCGAACATGTATTCCTGAGACATTCCGATTTCCATTTCTTTTAACAAATAGGTCATGAACTAAGTATTCCGAGCATCGAAGAAAGACACAGGAAATCTCAGTGTTTTGCCAGATCTGCTAGTAAAAACATTTACAAGAAATCCTGATCTCATAAGCAGCAGGGAGAACTTAGAGCAACTTGATTGATTCAGCTGACACCAGCACAGCCGAGAGCAGTATCTGGCCCGGGAGCAGTGTGCTTGGACGTTATCAGTCAATTTGCCTTTTGAAACCGCCATCCACCTGCTAATGCTAGAGGTGAAATCACTTCTAAAAGGCTGTCTTCCTGATTAAGGTCAAGCACGTGCCGCCACTCCATGACCTCCCGAGGGACCAAGAGAAACGAATTTTGCTTTGTGTTTCACAAGGAGCGACGCTTCTTTGGCTGTCGTGACCATCGACCGAGGTGCTCTTCCTTCTGGAGCTGGCAAGCTCCTCATGCCATGCTGTGCCCCGGGGAGGCTGAAGGCCAGGCCAGGGCAGCCCATGGAGGCCCTCCTGGCTGAGAGGCCATCTGGGGCAGCTCGGACAAGCAGGCCATGATTTTGGTTTCTCGGTTTATTTGGGGCTAGAGGGAGGGTAAGAGGTAAATTCAGTTTTTTTTTCCTCCTTCTGTCACATCATCCCATCCTTCCTGGGTCTGAAATTAGCACAGAAAGCCTCTGGGCAGCAGACAGGCCTGGACCAGGAGCCTCATGGGACTCAACAAAGGAGCAGGGATGTATTTAGGGATTTAAGTAAATATAGCCAGAAACTGTAGACTATCAGACTTGATAGGGTTTTGTTTGTACAACCCATGCTAGAACACAGAAGAAGGGTGACATATTTACCTGATTTTCTTGTTCTTTTCTTTCTTGGGAGGCACTAAAGAAGGGTGACTTATTTAACCTCGTTTTCTTGTGCTTTTCTTTCTTGGTAGTAAGTACTTTGCCACAGCCTGGTGCCATTAGGAGGTTCGTCAGAGTCTGCAGGATGTCTTCTCACATCCATTATGACAATTTAACAGAAAAGTCGTCCTTGCTTGGGCCTTGGAGGCCCCATGGGTTTCTACAAATGCTGTGTATTAATACTTGCCAGATTTCTAATCACCAAGCACACGTTGATCCCCTCTCTGGTGTAGATGACAGCTGAATGTCCTCCTTCACAATGTAAGAAGTGTCCCTGCCAAAATCTTTAGGGTGCATGACCAAACATGGACGCCTCAGCTGCCACGAGTTCACAGCTCACTGGGGCTGTTGGCATACTTCATAAGTTTGAAAAAAAAAAAAAAAAAAAAAAAGAAAAGAGACACTAAAAATACAGTTTGGACTTCAATTAGTGAGGAAAAAAAAGGACTTCAGACATGGGTGCTATACTCCCTATCTTTTTTGTGGTTCACAAAAAAAAAAAAAAAAAAAAAAAAACTATTTGAGAAAGACAGCTGAGCTGCAGCCTGGTGGAACTCATAAATATAGAAATGTAGATATGGTGTGAAACTTGTGGCAAACACATGCAATAATTTGAAAACATGTATACCCTAGTCAGCAAACGGGACATAACAAGGAATGAGTCACATCCAACCCAAACATATGCTAGTGGTTTTCTTACACGTAGAGAGGTTACAGCTACAGGATGGACAAGCAGCTTCAGAAAGTTAAAAACACTCTAACCATGTAACTTTTGCATTTTGTAGAGAAGTGTAATTATCTGAATAGCTTCTTCATTCATTGTCAGCTACTGGAAACATATCTACTGAAATTAGCTTTTCTATCAAATTGCCAGCCTTGCCTATGCACCATAGCTGCTGCCTGGCCACAACAGTCATAACAGCTTTAGAAGTATTTCCCTGGGAGGTCAACAGCTCAGTAACTGTACAAATGTCCCAGAACTGTACTGCCTGTGTCCTCCATACACCTCTGAAGCACCAAACACTTCCAGCTGTTGCCAGAACTTTGAACATCAGCTCTGAATCCAATGGGAAGAGGAAAAGGGTTTGTCAGGCCCACGCAGACTCCAGGAGCATTCAATCATTTCACTGAAATGATGAAAACAAACTCACCTCTTTGAGAAGCATATTTCTACTTGGTTTTGTGACTATTTAGTTTACCCCATAATAACCTGGAAATATAATTGCATGGCTGTAACACGCAAAAGTATAAAATGTATTTGCTAGGTATCTCGACATCAATTTATAGCAGCAGGGTTTTTCTAAGACCATCAAAAACTTACAAAGTAAATTGTTTTGTTTTAAAATATGCTTAATTCTTTGTTGTATCTTTAAGAGAATAAGCCATCAGAATAAATCTGCCGACTTACTTGGATAAATGAATGGAATTGTCTTCCATCAGCTGTTCTGGGCATCTTGAAATAGGTTTTGTTTCTTATCAAAACTGAAGTGGTTGGGAAAGAGTCCAAGCAAACTCATTTTACGTTATCCGGCAGAAACTACCGAATTCTCTGCAGTAGTTGAGGGTTCTTTCATTCACCAGAACTGATCTACCAAGTATCTCATCCTCTTTTTTGTCTTGTATCTTTACAATACCAGAAGTCATCACAATATGGAGGTTCCATGTACAAATATCCACCCAATATTACGTACCGCAGACAACCCTGAACAGGAAAATAATGGCTGAATGGTGATGATCAATATAAACAAATCCTTACCTCTGTGCTGAACAAATTGTTATTCACGCAGAACTTTTCCCAAAGTCCCTATAGTACTTACCACCATTGCATTAAAATTTATGTAGTCCTATATTTTGCTGCATAAAACGTGGAATGGTGTTAGAATAGTAACTTCATTGCAGGGAAATTGGTGGCCATGAAGGTTAACAGCCCATACAGAAAGCCACTAACAAATGTCCTTCCTTAATGAAATGCTTGGTTTAGATCGTATTTTTCATAACGTACTTATGCATTAGGCAGCCAAGCAGATATTATAAAACAGATTCATTCATAAAATACGACATACATAAGCATTTTTTTTCTGATGGAGTTCAGCCTATCAAGTTCTCATTTCAGTGAATACTAAAAAAAAAA